GTAATCTGATTGGATTTGAAGATAGTGAATGTCCTTTTTTCCAACATACATATGACCCATATGTTCCGTCCATTCGTTTCCACTGTTCTATATCCAATCTTGCCAGGAATAAATATCTTCTGTGGATAGCTACTGCTGATGAATGATTGGTGTATAGAACTTTCAGTTTTTTTTTTAATTCTGCTATCAAACCGATCAAATTACTTATACTTTAATTAANCTTCTGTGGATAGCTACTGCTGATGAATGATTGGTGTATAGAACTTTCAGTTTTTTTTTTAATTCTGCTATCAAACCGATCAAATTACTTATACTTTAATTAATTTTTTTTTGCGCCTGATCAAAGATAGATCATTTACGTCAAAATTAAAGTATTTATAAATGAAAAATCTCTCATGTGAGAATCCTGAAGAATTGTCAAAATTCGAACTCAAGGCGTCTGAATTTACGACTCACCCTTTTTTTCACTTGAACTACTCCTTAGAGTTTGTTTGGATGGATTTTTGGGAAGAGTTGGATTGATTCTCCAAACCCTTCTAAACTCAAACCCTTCCTTACAAAGATGTAATTCAATATTAAATTCAATTCATACTCATGTTTCGTATGTAACGCACACATGTAATACCTACAGATATATTATAATTATTAATAATCATTTATCCTGTAAATGACTATGTTATTCCTTGGACAATCTAATTTATACCTATGTTTGTTTACATACATTTTCTTTTGCTTTGTGGATATCATATTTGATTTTTTTTTCCTTTCTATCTTATGAAATAAAACAAGAATATTGATAAAATATTACTAAGAAAAGAAATTACCCAAGACAGGTTTCAATTCCTATAATAAAATTTATATTAAGAAATAGGAACATTTAAGCAAGATAAAATAGAAAATATTTAAAATTTAGGAGTCTTATACATTATTTTCCTTAAATCCTAGGCACCGAATCCCATAAACCCATAAAACAAACAAGCCTTTGGAGTTTCTTATTGAGTAAGAACAACTCCAAAAGGTTAGCTAGAAACTCATTTTTTAGCTATTTTAGATAGTTTATCTTTAAAATGTGGCTTCAACAGATAAGTTATTCCCTTATCTATTTTTCATAACCCCATTTTCACTAACTACGTCTAGCTAGTTATTTTTTTCTAACTACTTTAAAAGTTGTTGGTCTAGTGTTTGGATGAGGCGATCGATGGAGAAACAATGACATCTAGTTTGCTCAAACTCAAAAGTTTTGAGGTGATTTTATTTTAAATTTTGTGATTTAATTTGAGAGAATTTGATTTGAGAGTAGTGATTTTCGGGAGGTGAGTTCTCTCTTGTAACTTATAATTGATTAAATTTGTACAATTTATAGTTGAATTACTATTTTTTGAATTTTATTATTGAAAGTTAGTTAAAGTGGTTAACTAAAATAGATAGTGTTATTGGAGTGAATTTTAAAAAGTAGTTAGTTAAAATAGATAATATAATATTTAAATATATTTTGAGTTCCTATTTTAGATAGTATTGTCAGAGATACTCTAAAGTTTGAACATTTTCATTCAACTTACATGGCCTCACCTCGCCGTTAGAATAACGATTATCTTTATTTGGAAAAGAATAATGGACAAAAAATCTCATTTAAAATCTTAAAATATGATATTAGTGTTACATTGATTAAAAAAATAAATTACAAATATAGATTAAATAATGTGATATTATTATAATGAAATAAATTTAAAATTTAAATATGTAATAATATAATTAATAGCACTATTATAATAATATCACATAATTATTAGTTTTAATTTCTTTATCAATTTAACATTACTCTTATAAATATCCATTACTTCTTTTCTTTTTTTTTTTTAATATATTAAACAAATATGCATATAGGTAATTCTATATATCTGTCAAACAACTTTTTTTTTGCTATATTAAATAAATATGCATATATGTCACTTTATATATCTGTTAGACAACATTGTCCATCAGTAATATACAAACAGGAGATTCCATTGCATTTGCGTTAAGGCCAAAATTAAGGTGTCATCTTGTGCTCTGAACATTGAAGAATTGATTTAACCTCNTCTTTTTTTTTTTTAATATATTAAACAAATATGCATATAGGTAATTCTATATATCTGTCAAACAACTTTTTTTTTATATATTAAATAAATATGCATATATGTCACTTTATATATCTGTTAGACAACATTGTCCATCAGTAATATACAGTTATCTGCAGGAGATTCCGTCGCATTTGCGTTAGGGCCAAAATTAAGGTGTCATCTTGTGCTCTGAACATTGAAGAATTGATTTAACCTCATTGAACTATCATAATTATGGAGATTCAATCCAAACATTGTACAAAGAAATTTGAGTTTTTACTCACTTTCTTTCCTTGGAATTGAGTAAATATTCAATGCAACTGTCAATCCATAATAAAATTTTAAGTGGATAAATTAAATTCTTTTTAAATTTATGTAGAGGAAGAGTGAAGAGTTATTTGCTTATAACGTAAATTAATTATATATTTTTGTGAAGTCTATTTACTTATTTATCTTAAAATTATTGATTAATAACATCACACCACATTGCCACGTACCGTCGTGGTTGTAATGAATATTTTCTCTTTGGAACCAAACCAAACCAAACCAAACCAAACCGGGGTTAGTTTGACCAAATCATCCTGACACGTCATCACTTCCTAACATGCCAACACTCGTTTCTTCTCCTTCGTGTCTCCCCCTCTCCGACGTCACAATCGTTTAGGCCCCACAATCCCAAAAAAAAAAAAAAAACCCTAACTTTGAGACACATGCGACCCAAATTCACTCCAAACTCACGTGTAAATGTGACACCATTTTCTCCCAGCAAAACCATATTCATCCAACGGTCCAAATTCCGCCACGTTTCATCCCTAATTCCATCCACACCGTACATGACGGATGCCTGGGTCACCAACTCCGATAACAAACAAAAGCACGTCCACCGTCCGATAACCAGTTGCCGTACAATCCACGGCCCAAAAACTGCCCGACATTATCACGGGCAGATCTCATCGTCTTTAAGAAGGGTTGCCTGTATCTTTCATTCTTCACTCAAACACCTGAGNTTCAATGCAACTGTCAATCAATAATAAAATTTTAAGTGGATAAATTAAATTCTTTTTGAATTTACGTAGAGAAAGAGTGAATAGTTATTTGATTATAAAGTAAATTAATTATATATTTTTGTGGAGTCTATTTACTTATTTATCTAAAATTATTGATTAATAACATCACACCACATTGCCACGTACCGTCGTGGTTGTAATGAATATTTTCTCCTCGGAACCAAACCAAACCAAACCAAACCGAGGTTAGTTTGACCAAATCATCCTGACACGTCATCACTTCCTAACATGCCAACATCGTTTCTTCTCCTTCGTGTCTCCCCCTCTCCGACGTCACCATCGTTTAGGCCCCACAATCCCAAAAAAAAAAACCCTAACTTTGAGACACATGCGACCCAAATTCACTCCAAACTCACGTGTAAATGTGACACCATTTTCTCCCAGCAAAACCATATTCATCCAACGGTCCAAATTCCGCCACGTTTCATCCCTAATTCCATCCACACCGTACATGACGGATGCCTGGGTCACCAACTCCGATAACAAACAAAAGCACGTCCACCGTCCGATAACCAGTTGCCGTACAATCCACGGCCCAAAAACTGCCCGACATTATCACGGGCAGATCTCATCGTCTTTAAGAAGGGTTGCCTGTATCTTTCATTCTTCACTCAAACACCTGAGCCTACGACCCTTCGTCTTCTGATTCTCTGGCAGATAAATTTTCTCCGGCGGTCATCGGAGTTTTTGTTAGATTCCGGTGAATTACGTCTTCAATTTCATGTTTTCTCTTTCATCCGATCGATTTTTCCGGAGATTTGCCGGAGTTCAACCACGCCGCTGCAATTCATGGCCGCCGTTTTAGCTAGCGGGAATGAATCGAGCTGGGGCCAATCTAGTGCTGTTGGATTAATGGCGAAACTCCCTTACTCCAATCCTCACTTAAAAAACCCGAAACCTAACCCTAACCCTAAGAATAAACACAAATTCAACACAGCTAACGGCCAACACGCCGACGATTCTACGGTCGTTACTCAGACCACCTCTGATGATGCCTATTCGTTCAACCAGAGATCGGTTGAGGGTACTAGCCGGAATGGTTTCAATCACGGTGGATACATTAGCTTCAACTTAGCTTCGTGTTCGAACAGCGAGTTGAGCGAACTCAAGCAGCGTTTGGTGGCGGAGTTGGAACGGATCCGAAACTTGAATAATCAAATCGATTCCGGACAACTCCAACCCAGATCTCATGGTAAAATAAAGAAATTATCTGGAAGCAAGCGACCGTTTCCTTGTGGTTCTAAAAAAGATTTGAAGGGATTGTGCCAAACATCGGAATTTGAGAATGGTCATATGAGTGGAAATGGGAAAGAGGGTTTGATGAAGATGTGTAGGCAAGTGTTGACGAAGTTGATGAAGCACAAATTTGGTTGGGTTTTTAATAAACCGGTGGATGCTGTGGCCTTGGGGCTTCATGATTACCATCGGATAATTAAGCAGCCGATGGATCTTGGCACAGTGAAAGGGAATTTGGCGAAAGGTTTGTTTGTTTCGCCTGTTGATTTTGCTGCTGATGTGAGATTGACATTTAATAATGCCTTGTTGTATAATCCGAAGACCGATGAAGTTAACGGCATGGCCGAGCAGCTACTTGGTATATTCGAGGATATGTTTAGACCCATACAAGAGAAGATTGGTGGTGATCGGAAAGAAGAGGATCGTGGCTTTGTTGGTGATGAGTTGCAAGGTAGTTCTTGGAGTCAAATTCCAACCCCAGAAAGAGTAAAGAAATCGGAAACGAGCCCCAAACCCCCAATTTCAAATAAAAAAGACCAAATGCAAAGTGGGTCAAGTGCCTCAAACCCGTCAAATTCTCCATTGAACCCAGCTCCGGTGCAATCACCCGTGCCCTCTCCATCCTCCATGCCAGCGCCTCCTGGGAAACCGGTGGCTGTGAGAGGATCTTCCACAAAGCAGCCGAAGCCAAAGGCTAAGGATCCCAATAAGAGAGAGATGAGTATGGAGGAGAAGCAAAAGCTTGGAATTGGGTTGCAGAGTTTGCCTCAAGAAAAGATGCCTCAATTGGTGCAGATTATAGGGAAGAGGAATGAGCATTTGGCTCAAGAGGGTGATGAAATTGAGCTTGACATTGAGGCTCTTGATACAGAGACCCTTTGGGAGCTTGATCGGTTTGTGACTAATTGGAAGAAGATGGCGAGCAAGACAAAGAGGCAAGCACTAATGTCAAACAATTCAGCTGGAGCGGGAACCATAACCACAACTTCTGCTGAAGCTGATAGGGTGAATCATTTTTATTGCTTATTTTGACTTTCATATTTCTTGAATTCTTTAGCATGTTGTAATTGGTGATTTGGGATTGCTAATAATGTGTTTTAATAGCAGGGTCCTATGAGAGAGAGAACTGATTTGACAAAGAAGCCAAAGAAAGGAGAAGCTGGGGATGAAGATGTGGACATTGACGACGATATGCCTGCAACCAACTTCCCATCGGTGGAGATTGAGAAGGATGAAGGTGGTTATGATCAAAATCATGGTCATGCTAATAGTAGTTCTAGCGGTTCCAGTGGCTCAAGCAGTGACTCATCCTCTTCAAGTGGTGCTGAATCTTGTGTTACTACATTTTTACCATGCACTTTGTTTCTTGGAGTTGTGGTGCCAAATTAGTTGCCAGATTGTTTATGATTTTAAGGTTCTGTTTTACAGATTCTGGTTCAGGGAGTTCTTCTGGGAGCGATTCAGATGCTGATGATGCACAGTCTTGAAGTAAATTAAAGAACTTGGCAGATTTGAGAACTGACGGATGAAAAAAATGATGTTTGAACTCTTACACCTATTAGAAGGGCTTTAATGTAGGAGGCTTATTGATGAGGTATAGCAAATGTTCACTAACTCTTACTAATTTTTTATGATGGGTTTCTTCATGGGAATGAGCTGAAATTTTGAACTACGCTTTGCAGAGGGTTCTGAATTGTGAAAATTTGTCGAACTTTGTAGCTTTGGATTCGACAGAGGAATGAAGATAGGGTGTTGGGTGAAGCTTATAGAGGGAACCAAAAGAGATACGTAGCTTAGACTCTAGAGATGTTGGGTTATTGAACCAAAAGAGATAGGGCCAGTTATGCCCCCAGTTAGAGAGAAGAGAGAGAGAGGTAAATAGTTGAGATACCACTGTACAGATTTTTTTCCTCTTTTCTTTTTGGACAAAAAGAGACGTCTTTCTGCTGAAACTGCAACAGCTACTCGCAATCACCTGTTAGTCACTGATACGTCACTTAAATTACTGATGCACTTGAACTTAGAACTTGTAGATTGGAGTGTGGCTGACCACACAAGTAATACATGAATTTCCTCATGGAAAAGGGATGGGAAGAATTGTATAGAACCGAACGGTCATGTGGAGTGGAATGACAAGGTTGCCAAGCAAGGCATGAGTTGGGTGACAATCAGAAGAAGAAGGTTGATCCTTCTCACTCCCATGCGCTTCCTCCTCTCCTCCTCCTCCTCCTCCTCCTCCTCCTGCTCATCATCATCATCATCCTATAAAACTCCGCTTTGTCCAAATGCCAGCCAGTCACGCATCACCGAAGCCCCCCCTTAAGAACACGAAACAGTTACAATTATGCAGCTGTTGAGAAGAGGACGCGATGATATTAAATGCAACGATATTGTAAGTTTCTGAAGTTTGGGTGTCAGATTCGAGTCGCCAAAACAGTTCTGCAGGCAGGATAAGGCTGTGAATATGTGATTTTGTTTTTTCAGATCCTATGACAAATCTATGTATCTGGCTGTCCTTTTAATATTGAAAGCTATTGATGTTTACTTGAAGTCCAACATTGGTGTACAAAAAGCCAAAAAACAAAAAAAGTTTTGATCATCTTGATTTTATTTTTTTTTCGGTCCGATTAAAAATAGATCATTTATGTCAAGATTAGATATAAATTAGAATATTTATGAGAGTTAATATTAGATATATCCTTTAAATTGTTTTCTTTTGCTCTTGGGATGGTATACAAAGTAAAGTGCTTGCTGCTGACGTTTCTTGATTGCGATTTTGAGATGAAGTAATACAAGTTGATCCGAATTTAATATGGATTTTAATCATGTTGAGCTTGCGTTCGGCCACTGGGTTTCATTTTGGCTGCCCTTATTATTATTATAAGATATTTTTCCCCTAGTCTGCCTAATTGAGGTCTAATTGGATTAGAAGAGGCAGTTGAGAAAATGATTGATAATTGAGTAATTATTATTAGGATTTAAAAAATTGTTTTGATGAATTGACATAATGATATATTAAATAAAAGAGTTTCAATCAAGAAATTTAAGATTTATAATTACAACAATATTATAGGACAAGGGCAATCCTATTGAAATTTAATCTGCTAACCTAATTTTTAAATTGGTTACGAATCCTATCAAACATTGAAACTTAGTATTAATTCAATAGTTCTAATAAAACAACATCATTAAGTTAACAAATTAAGTTAAATTTTTATATCTAAATAATATTATTTGTTAGACAATATCACTATTACATTTTTATGTCAATAAATTATGTCAATTTTTTTAGATCCCGATAACAGTACTCTCGACAATTTGTCATTCCTATATAACCTATACGATCATGCATCAATGCTAACCAGTCCTAAACCAAATTTATTCATACTATGTCATATTCAACCTTGACTAAAATTTTTATTTAAAATTTTGAGTGAACTCATGAGTAAAAAATTTGATTTGATACAAAACACTCCAATGAAAAAACTCAAATAACATAGCTCTTCTTTTCCTAAACGATCATGCCAACATTTAACATACCATTCTCAACAACTTAAATGGAAATCAAATCCACAAAAAATAGCCCATGGTAGTAACCAAATCTAGAAGATATCCCACCAAATGATGGTTTTACTCTTGTAGTTCTTCCCTTCACAAGGAGACCTTTTTCTCAGCACCTTTCAAACCATACTTATTTTTCCATCAAGCTAATGGTGGGGGGAAATAAATATTGACCATGAAAGAATGAAGGACCAATGAACAAATAGAAAGGGCTATGGTTAACCCACAAGGAAGTCACTCCTAACTAATACTCAAGGTATTTAACATAAAGTTGGGAAGCTTCTGGTATTGACCTCCTAAGATGTGTCGGGTCTAGGTTCAAGTGTCATAATCCTTTCACTAGGTTAATGTTTTGCTACTTCTACAATTCATTACACAGTTCACTTCATGCCCGGTGTTATTACATCAAGAACCAATTTTGCCTCCTGGAAAAAATATGAAGATATAGAAGAAATGCAATCGTTGTCTATGCCACCATCCTAAATTGAAAGCACAAGTGTAACATTATCAAAGCAACGCTATTGTAGCAACCCCACCTCCTTTCGATGTGCTGAGTTTATGCTCAAGTGTTACGAAGAGGAAGGAACACCGCAATCACAATAAATACTTATGTTCTATAATAAAAGAAATAAACAAGAAACTACTGTAATTCAAAATTGAAAGGTCCAATAATATAGGCTATGGTGGATCAATTATGATCAAAATTCTCCTAGACATGAACAACCCAAGACAACACCGTGAAACTAAAAGTGACAAGTGAAAAGTATAAAGGTTTTACCAACAGAAAGATTTACCAAGAACTGCCACCTTCCAGGGTCACTGGTGTAGAACTTGATTGATCACCAAAGAGTAATGTCCATGAAAGTAGTATTTCGGTTTGAGTAAGTTGTCGAGAGCCCCATGTAGTGTGTTGGGCAAGAGGTTATTTGCTGCACTAGCATTCAAACCGAAAGGAACTTCCAATAATTTGATTGTAAATCAAACACTTGAAGGAGATATTTCCAGCAGAACTAGTCAGACAGCCTACTGTTGCTGCTTTTTCAAAGTAAGAAACAGCTCACCAAGTTGAGATTCGCAAGAAGCATGAACTTCAGGTTCCAAAGTTCTGAGAAATGATGTGGTCAGGTTATGGGTTGTCAAAAACTGGAAGAGCTTGCCACAGAACTTACGCACATCAACCCGTCTTGACTGCTTTTCGGGCATATCTGTCACCAACTGTTGCACAAGATGACATAGTTTTGGAATATGGCTTTTCAAAATTTTCTTTGATGCTTCCTGGCCACTTCCATCAGGTTTAACAGAAATAAGTGATTTCAATATTTCAATCACCAGATCAAGTGATTCAACTTGCCGAAACTCTGATTTTGCACTACCACACTTCTCCAAAAAGAATCCCAAGAGATGATGACGAATCCACGGTCTTCTTCTAAATAATTCTTTCAAAAAATCAGGTTTCATTTGAGACTTCTTACTGTTGAAATAAATCGTCAAAAAACCCTTAAAAATATCCACCACCCTCTGCAGCTCAGGCACAGGAAAATTTCGTGCATCAATGATCTTCAAAATCCAAAACGTGGAATTTTGAGCAAGTGACGTAATCATTTTGTGTCGATTCCAGGAGGCTGACTGTTTTATTTTTGATGGGTTATTTGCCGATTTCTTTTTCTTAAATGGCTTTGATGCCAACTTCAAGTTCTCTTCCAACAAAGATTCAAGCAGGGATAGTTGCACATCTCCTCCTCTTGGATAATCTTTTGCTTTAAATATTTTCTTCTGCAGAATTCCCCAAATACGCTGACCAAGCTGCTCACTACCTTCTGTAGTATGTGGGTTAACAAATGCCTGTACCAGGTTTGAGAACACTTTCAACACCTGGGGCTTACCTGTGTAGAGAGACAGAAAGAAGAAGAATAAACTACCATCACGGATCATGTCACAAACAAGTTTTTACCTTAGAAAGTTACTGACAGATAAACAATGCAACTCCAGAACAAATCTACGTTGCCATTAGAACATCAAATAGGCAAGCTATTATCTCATACAGAATGAAATTTCAGTACAGATGAGTTCACTACAATATGACTACAAGATCGCTGCAATGATGAAACAGTGGGCCAATTGTTTAGTGGTTAAAGTTCAACCCAATAATCTTGCCGTTGTGGATTCAAACCTGAGGGTAGTTATTTATGCAAATAATGTGAAAGGATAGGCTTGTACACAATCCACCCCTCCCAGGCCCACCATAATTGGACTATACTAGATATCATTTTTTCTATTGTTAAATCTTAGACTTTGGGCTTTCTGAATCAGAATGCAACCCACTCGATCATTAGGAAGATTTCAAATCAAGAAATTGTTCCCCCATTTTGAATCAAATTTCGGCAAAAAGGCTGTTTTCAAAAACTCCATAAACGACTAAATTGTGTCCTGGCTACTGAATACTACGTAAATCCAACCAGGTCCCTATATACTATTGTCCGAAACTCCAGTAAAAATACTAAGAGTAGGGAGTCGAAGGGTCATAACCAGTATAATTTAGCACTCATTGCAATTTGGTTCCCAGTACTCANGTCCCTATATACTATTGTCCGAAACTCCAGTAAAAATACTAAGAGTAGGGAGTTGAAGGGTCATAACCAGTATAATTTAGCACTCATTGCAATTTGGTTCCCAGTACTCATCTAAACTTAGATTTGTCGACAAAAGACTTGCCTGGATTCTCATGCAGGTAAATCTCCAGCAGCGAGAGAACACGAAGCTTGAAGAGCACGAGCTGGGAGTGAGCAGTTCCACTTCCAGCCTGGTTATTCGACTTCTTAAATTTTTGTGCAAGAAAAGCATCCATCCGAAACATGGCCTCATCGTCCATTCCTCCATCAGAATCATCAGAGTCCTCAGGAGGTTCATCCTCAGATGCCTGAACTCGAACTACTGCCTCAGAGTCATCTGTCTGTTCATCACTCTCACCGGTTTCACCTGTCTCAGTTTCATCAGGTTCCTGATATTCCTCCGCTTCTTCAATGTCACGTGGAGCTCCAATATCAAGAGGAGGTTCTTGATATTCCTCTGCTTCTTCGATATCGACAAGATCATCATCATCATCATCATGGTCTTCACGGTCTGTATCCTTTTTTCTTGCGGGTTTCAGATCCTTCTTTATCACACGCAACATACGAAGCAGTCCATCATCCGTGACATCATAACAGAAGTATTTGAAAACCTGTAAAGTANGAAGGTTGATCCTTCTCACTCCCATGCGCTTCCTCCTCTCCTCCTCCTCCTCCTCCTCCTCCTCCTGCTCATCATCATCATCATCCTATAAAACTCCGCTTTGTCCAAATGCCAGCCAGTCACGCATCACCGAAGCCCCCCCTTAAGAACACGAAACAGTTACAATTATGCAGCTGTTGAGAAGAGGACGCGATGATATTAAATGCAACGATATTGTAAGTTTCTGAAGTTTGGGTGTCAGATTCGAGTCGCCAAAACAGTTCTGCAGGCAGGATATGGCTGTGAATATGTGATTTTTGTTTTTTCAGATCCTATGACAAATCTATGTATCTGGCTGTCTTTTTAATATTGAAAGCTATTGATGTTTACTTGAAGTCCAACATTGGTGTACAAAAANAAGGCTGTGAATATGTGATTTTGTTTTTTCAGATCCTATGACAAATCTATGTATCTGGCTGTCCTTTTAATATTGAAAGCTATTGATGTTTACTTGAAGTCCAACATTGGTGTACAAAAAGCCAAAAAACAAAAAAAGTTTTGATCATCTTGATTTTATTTTTTTTTCGGTCCGATTAAAAATAGATCATTTATGTCAAGATTAGATATAAATTAGAATATTTATGAGAGTTAATATTAGATATATCCTTTAAATTGTTTTCTTTTGCTCTTGGGATGGTATACAAAGTAAAGTGCTTGCTGCTGACGTTTCTTGATTGCGATTTTGAGATGAAGTAATACAAGTTGATCCGAATTTAATATGGATTTTAATCATGTTGAGCTTGCGTTCGGCCACTGGGTTTCATTTTGGCTGCCCTTATTATTATTATAAGATATTTTTCCCCTAGTCTGCCTAATTGAGGTCTAATTGGATTAGAAGAGGCAGTTGAGAAAATGATTGATAATTGAGTAATTATTATTAGGATTTAAAAAATTGTTTTGATGAATTGACATAATGATATATTAAATAAAAGAGTTTCAATCAAGAAATTTAAGATTTATAATTACAACAATATTATAGGACAAGGGCAATCCTATTGAAATTTAATCTGCTAACCTAATTTTTAAATTGGTTACGAATCCTATCAAACATTGAAACTTAGTATTAATTCAATAGTTCTAATAAAACAACATCATTAAGTTAACAAATTAAGTTAAATTTTTATATCTAAATAATATTATTTGTTAGACAATATCACTATTACATTTTTATGTCAATAAATTATGTCAATTTTTTTAGATCCCGATAACAGTACTCTCGACAATTTGTCATTCCTATATAACCTATACGATCATGCATCAATGCTAACCAGTCCTAAACCAAATTTATTCATACTATGTCATATTCAACCTTGACTAAAATTTTTATTTAAAATTTTGAGTGAACTCATGAGTAAAAAATTTGATTTGATACAAAACACTCCAATGAAAAAACTCAAATAACATAGCTCTTCTTTTCCTAAACGATCATGCCAACATTTAACATACCATTCTCAACAACTTAAATGGAAATCAAATCCACAAAAAATAGCCCATGGTAGTAACCAAATCTAGAAGATATCCCACCAAATGATGGTTTTACTCTTGTAGTTCTTCCCTTCACAAGGAGACCTTTTTCTCAGCACCTTTCAAACCATACTTATTTTTCCATCAAGCTAATGGTGGGGGGAAATAAATATTGACCATGAAAGAATGAAGGACCAATGAACAAATAGAAAGGGCTATGGTTAACCCACAAGGAAGTCACTCCTAACTAATACTCAAGGTATTTAACATAAAGTTGGGAAGCTTCTGGTATTGACCTCCTAAGATGTGTCGGGTCTAGGTTCAAGTGTCATAATCCTTTCACTAGGTTAATGTTTTGCTACTTCTACAATTCATTACACAGTTCACTTCATGCCCGGTGTTATTACATCAAGAACCAATTTTGCCTCCTGGAAAAAATATGAAGATATAGAAGAAATGCAATCGTTGTCTATGCCACCATCCTAAATTGAAAGCACAAGTGTAACATTATCAAAGCAACGCTATTGTAGCAACCCCACCTCCTTTCGATGTGCTGAGTTTATGCTCAAGTGTTACGAAGAGGAAGGAACACCGCAATCACAATAAATACTTATGTTCTATAATAAAAGAAATAAACAAGAAACTACTGTAATTCAAAATTGAAAGGTCCAATAATATAGGCTATGGTGGATCAATTATGATCAAAATTCTCCTAGACATGAACAACCCAAGACAACACCGTGAAACTAAAAGTGACAAGTGAAAAGTATAAAGGTTTTACCAACAGAAAGATTTACCAAGAACTGCCACCTTCCAGGGTCACTGGTGTAGAACTTGATTGATCACCAAAGAGTAATGTCCATGAAAGTAGTATTTCGGTTTGAGTAAGTTGTCGAGAGCCCCATGTAGTGTGTTGGGCAAGAGGTTATTTGCTGCACTAGCATTCAAACCGAAAGGAACTTCCAATAATTTGATTGTAAATCAAACACTTGAAGGAGATATTTCCAGCAGAACTAGTCAGACAGCCTACTGTTGCTGCTTTTTCAAAGTAAGAAACAGCTCACCAAGTTGAGATTCGCAAGAAGCATGAACTTCAGGTTCCAAAGTTCTGAGAAATGATGTGGTCAGGCTATGGGTTGTCAAAAACTGGAAGAGCTTGCCACAGAACTTACGTACATCAACCCGTCTTGACTGCTTTTCGGGCATATCTGTCACCAACTGTTGCACAAGATGACATAGTTTTGGAATATGGCTTTTCAAAATTTTCTTTGATGCTTCCTGGCCACTTCCATCAGGTTTAACAGAAATAAGTGATTTCAATATTTCAATCACCAGATCAAGTGATTCAACTTGCCGAAACTCTGATTTTGCACTACCACACTTCTCCAAAAAGAATCCCAAGAGATGATGACGAATCCACGGTCTTCTTCTAAATAATTCTTTCAAAAAATCAGGTTTCATTTGAGACTTCTTACTGTTGAAATAAATCGTCAAAAAACCCTTAAAAATATCCACCACCCTCTGCAGCTCAGGCACAGGAAAATTTCGTGCATCAATGATCTTCAAAATCCAAAACGTGGAATTTTGAGCAAGTGACGTAATCATTTTGTGTCGATTCCAGGAGGCTGACTGTTTTATTTTTGATGGGTTATTTGCAGATTTCTTTTTCTTAAATGGCTTTGATGCCAACTTCAAGTTCTCTTCCAACAAAGATTCAAGCAGGGATAGTTGCACATCTCCTCCTCTTGGATAATCTTTTGCTTTAAATATTTTCTTCTGCAGAATTCCCCAAATACGCTGACCAAGCTGCTCACTACCTTCTGTAGTATGTGGGTTAACAAATGCCTGTACCAGGTTTGAGAACACTTTCAACACCTGGGGCTTACCTGTGTAGAGAGACAGAAAGAAGAAGAATAAACTACCATCACGGATCATGTCACAAACAAGTTTTTACCTTAGAAAGTTACTGACAGATAAACAATGCAACTCCAGAACAAATCTACGTTGCCATTAGAACATCAAATAGGCAAGCTATTATCTCATACAGAATGAAATTTCAGTACAGATGAGTTCACTACAATATGACTACAAGATCGCTGCAATGATGAAACAGTGGGCCAATTGTTTAGTGGTTAAAGTTCAACCCAATAATCTTGCCGTTGTGGATTCAAACCTGAGGGTAGTTATTTATGCAAATAATGTGAAAGGATAGGCTTGTACACAATCCACCCCTCCCAGGCCCACCATAATTGGACTATACTAGATATCATTTTTTCTATTGTTAAATCTTAGACTTTGGGCTTTCTGAATCAGAATGCAACCCACTCGATCATTAGGAAGATTTCAAATCAAGAAATTGTTCCCCCATTTTGAATCAAATTTCGGCAAAAAGGCTGTTTTCAAAAACTCCATAAACGACTAAATTGTGTCCTGGCTACTGAATACTACGTAAATCCAACCAGGTCCCTATATACTATTGTCCGAAACTCCAGTAAAAATACTAAGAGTAGGGAGTTGAAGGGTCATAACCAGTATAATTTAGCACTCATTGCAATTTGGTTCCCAGTACTCATCTAAACTTAGATTTGTCGACAAAAGACTTGCCTGGATTCTCATGCAGGTAAATCTCCAGCAGCGAGAGAACACGAAGCTTGAAGAGCACGAGCTGGGAGTGAGCAGTTCCACTTCCAGCCTGGTTATTCGACTTCTTAAATTTTTGTGCAAGAAAAGCATCCATCCGAAACATGGCCTCATCGTCCATTCCTCCATCAGAATCATCAGAGTCCTCAGGAGGTTCATCCTCAGATGCCTGAACTCGAACTACTGCCTCAGAGTCATCTGTCTGTTCATCACTCTCACCGGTTTCACCTGTCTCAGTTTCATCAGGTTCCTGATATTCCTCCGCTTCTTCAATGTCACGTGGAGCTCCAATATCAAGAGGAGGTTCTTGATATTCCTCTGCTTCTTCGATATCGACAAGATCATCATCATCATCATCATGGTCTTCACGGTCTGTATCCTTTTTTCTTGCGGGTTTCAGATCCTTCTTTATCACACGCAACATACGAAGCAGTCCATCATCCGTGACATCATAACAGAAGTATTTGAAAACCTGTAAAGTATAAACCAGATACCGTCCACATGAAAACTCTTATATACGACGCAAGGGAGGTAGTCTCAATCTATAACCCATGAACCCCAGAAACTATCAGAAAAGCTCAACCAAGAAATATCAAATGTTTGCATCTACAAATAAATTGCTTGGCAATACACGGTCTTATTCTAAATTAGGCAATCATGATCTATTGCATCATTTTGCTCAAAAAATTAAGATATCTACTGTTTTTCTGTTCTGTTAGTTGGTACCACTACAGTACAGGAAGTGTTGTTGCAAGATATACTCGGCATAGCAGATTCAACTTCCTTCCCCCTGCCCCCAACCCTTTAACAGAATCTCCCCAAAATATATAGACCTACCAAATGAAAAAGAAGTTGGTGAAAAAGATTTGATAGTGGAACTTGAATCTGACATGCCCCCAACAAGATGCATGCATCCTACAAAGACTGTTGGCAAAGCAGCTACAACCTAATTCAATCAAAGTGTAGTACTTCAAAGTCAAATATACTCTTTTGTAGGTGCATGTGCATACAAATCTAATGAAACTAGTCCATCAAAGGCATAGTATTCAACCCAACCTCATTATTTTAACAATCATATTGAAGATTTCCCATATATATCAAATAGGAGTGCAGTCAATATAAACAATCAAGACCAATACACACACATAAGAAGTCAACTGCGGAGAAACCAAAATTGCTGTCTGGCATTCACCTGCTCAATAGCAGATCGCATAGGTGCTGATGACTGCGGCAACAAGGAAAGAAATGTATCCACAAGGACATCCATTAGCTTGGGGGTTCCATCACCATCTGGTTCATCCTCTCCAGAGGAATCCAGGAGTTCGGAAGCACCAAAAGCCTTCTTACAGCATATAATAAGTTCAGAGGCAGCTTCAGAGAATTCCCCAGGTCGAAGTATGACTTGCAGCAGCAACTGGATGAGCAAGTATCTCAGGGCATGCAATTTATTTGCATCTGTACTGAGCCCGCAATTCCTTTCCTGTCATCATTATAGAATATCACAAAATGTAATACCAGTTTACCTGAACAGTGAATGTACAGATAAAAAAAGGCTTTTTAAGGGTAAAAAACTATTGAGACAAACTTGATAAGCACAATTCTTAAGTACAAAATCCTGAATCCTACCAAATGTTCACCATAAATGGGCCTTAAAAGGAGATCGTCAAATTAAACAACCACGAGAACAAATAAATCTGTACGAAGCAATTTCAAAATTTTCCCAGAGTTTGTATTACAGTGACACCCCATCAGAAGGTTGAATACTATACTACTAATTGCAAGTTGTCCCAATTCCACGAATAAATATAATTGTCCCATGTCAGAGCTCTAATATTAAGATACTACTAATCATCCTCCTTTCTTTTGTCTTCTTCTCAAAGCAGCCGTCCAAGATAGGGGAAGGCCCTCAGCAGCATTGACTGTCAGTGTAGCATAGGACAAGTTAAGAATCAAGAATTTTAATTTACAGTAGTACCTCTCTAGATAGCCTGGTTTCAACTTCCAGCAATTTTTGAAATGCTTTTTCATCATCACTGCCCAAGGCCCTAAAAAGTGAAACTGAAGGAATGTTGCATAATGTACTAAGAAACCGCATAAAATATGACCCAAGATCATTTGCCTCGAGGCCACTAGCCACTGCATGAGGCGCCTCTCCTTTTTGAGCATTTGCCAGCAACAGTTGGAGCTGCTCAATACACATTCTGCAAAGAGGACTTGAGGTGGGTACTTTTGGCCATCTAAATTTCTCCTGCAACTCAAAAGATGTCACTTCAGTTCCAAGAGATGAAGAGAATAGACCTTGAATGGCTAAAAACTTCAGAATTTCTTTTTGCACCCGGAACTTTGCTTCAGGGTCTAGTTTAGAGTGTTTCAAAACACCCGGTAGAGAATCCACAACCCAACTTTTCAAAAAATCAGGAGTTCCCAATGTCCCAGCAGAATCCTTATCCTCTATTGAACCTATCTCTGAATTGTCATCTGTTGTTTGACTCTGATCTGAAGGTTCCTCTGAAGCATTACCCTCATTCAGAAACATGCTCATCAAATTCTGAATGAACAGCATGCAGCCAGATTCAGTTTTAAATTCTTCCAAAAAACTTTTAACTGTTTTGGTTCTAGTAATGCTATCAAATTTCCCATTGCTGTGCTTTTGCAGGGCCACAATAACAGCTACTCTTCTATCATCATCATACTTGACCCAATCAGACAATTCTTTTAGGAAAAATTGTGCAACTTTGAACAGCCAAGAGTCCTTTGTGGAAAGTATATCCATCAGGCACTGCACAAGTTTGTACGACAGAATAATGTGAACGCAAGAGGCAGGCAGCTTCGGTAGTAGAAGAAGCACAGCATCAAGTGCCAAGTGCTTACGATCATGAGATGACATGAGAAGGGATCCTTCAATGATAACATCGCAGAAACTCCGAATATTTTTCTCAATGTCTTCTTCGGATGAGCTATACTTGCGATTCTTTTTGTGCTTCCTGATGGAATTCAAACCTGATGCTTTATCTACATCTTGCACAACGTTATCAGGTAAGAGAGTATTTACCAAAACAGGCCACACACTATGAACTCGAGGTTGGCAGAAGGTCGACTCCTGCAACATTTGACAAGAATACAAGACAAAAATAAGATTTGTTTGTTCTTCAATAGAAATGCTTGCTGCAATAAGATGAATATATACATTACCTTCAAGCAATTAGCAAGTGACGAAAGATGATCTGCAGAAAAAAGCCCGTTAGAGCAATATGGATAAGGCAGAAGCTTGCCAAACACTCTGCTGTCAACAGAAATTTTTTCTCGCATCTTAAGAGCTAAAAACAATGCATCAGGATTTCCAACTTCAGTGGCTCCTTCAAACCACTCCTGAAGCCCTGGAGCTTCAAGAACCTGATTCAGCAAGGCTTCGACAGGTAACTACAACACCATTAGCAACGTCCAACGTGTTAAATGGATCAAGTAACAGAGGAAATAAAGTAATTGCATTAGTATAAAACAAACACACAGATCATAGAAATGAATACCATCAAAATACATGCATCATATATATAAGTCCCGTCGTGTATTATGTGGGTATTTGTCAACACACATTTTCAAACAATAGGAATCAAGAAGCTATAGTACAGGACATGATCATGATGGTTGCAGGTACCTGAGATCCTAATATTAGAATTTAGTGACAGACTAAAAAATAGGAAAGTGGAAATTAGTGGAGATTATCCTCAGTAGCACTCCAATCAGTTCAAGCCTGTAATCTCATTCAACTTCCAACAAGTTCAATTACTGCATCCATACGATGACATTCGAAAGTTTTACAGGTGTACAAGTTTAGAAGTATAGTTGTATGATTTTCTTTAGAAACTTCGTGATTGTGATAAAGGACCTTCCAAATTCAGGGAAGAGTGTATACATCTTGAGCTTTAGATCCATCCTGAGCATTGGTTGTCATATTAATTCAACTCCACTATGTTAACATTGCACTCGAATTAGAAAAACCAAAGACTAAACATACAACACAGTAATAAAATCCGTAAGATAAACGATATTAGGTCCTAATTTGGAAGAAACTAATCAAGTATCTAAAAGTTTCGTAATATGTCCTCAATTAATACACAACAAATACCAAAGAGATTCACTAGGATAACGTACCTTATCAACCAATTCTAAAATAACTGAAACAGCGGGTTCTTGCAAGTACCGCTTCCTGGTTGCAAGAGAGATAAGAGAACTAGTGAACTCCTTGATATACATAGAGTTTTTATCAGAAGTCCAATCTTGAGTTAGTCTTCCTGATCGCCCAAGAGCTCCATAAGCAAACAAGCGACCCAGAAGACAGTCCCTCACTTCCTGCAAATGCCACAAAAATCATATTATGAAATTTCACATGAAAAGAATGCTGCCTGAGCAAAATGTACTTAAGACATGAACTCATGCTTGCCCACCTGACCAGTCATTGAAGAAGAGACCTCCAACAAATCAATAATGAGTTTTAGCAAGGAGTTCACCTCAATGTTAGGAATTGCACCAACTAAAATAGTCATACCCAATGCAAAGCCTTGTCTAGCACACTGTAAAAGAAATAACAAACCACACGTAGGCCACAAGTCGGGTAACAAAGTTATAATGTTATAAACAGTCGAGCACTTTTCAGTATGATGCACAAAAAATTCTTAGGAGGAGTCATGTCTATCCAACACTGCGGCAGATAAAAGACTCCTTTGGCGTCTGAAAACCATGACAGGCATCTCACATACATGTCCACTGTTTTTGAAAGAATTTAAAATTGATTGCGTGGTCACAACACATGATGCATGCAATGGACACCTTAAAACGAAAATATAGTTGCCAAAACAGAGCTATAATCAAACATCAGTACCAGTTGTAGCACAGATATAAAAATTACGAACATGATATGTGTGAGCTTCATCCACCAAAGCAGACTGCTCTTTAAAAAGTAATATACATTAAATCAGTGAAGACACTGAAGCAATACAAAGCTACAATATGTTCACATAGAACCTATCCACTTCCACTCACTAAGATGAGAAGGGCTCCCTTTCGAGCAGCAATTCACAAGTATAAAAATAAAGGCACCACACCCAAAACTTGCAAAAGATAAACTATACACATAGATATGAACAAAATCAACAAAACATACCTCTCTTGATGAAGATACACCACGAATGAGCCTCCGAACAGCATATCTCACAGAAGGCGCACAATTATTCAATCCATCATCCTTTTCAGCTTCCAATTTCAACCCACCCTCAACCAACACCTTGTCCTCAAGCTTATCATAAGCTTTTTGAACTTCCACCAACTCCATCACCAACGCTTCAGCAGCCTTTTCCCTTACAAATACATCAGCAGAAGCAAGTTCCTTAAAAACACCAATGTGGAACTCAGGCAACCCACAACTACTTGCACTCGGCGAGCTCGCCATTAACACTTCACTATCATTATCTTCGGCTACCACCAACACAAACTGCTTTGGCTTCGATTCGGACTCAGCTCGGTGTCTCTCTTTGTCCAGTGCTTTTCTGTTCTTTTTTCTCTCCATTGGCTTAACATAATCAGGAGCTACAGATGGGCCAGCAGACCCATCTTCCACCTTTATTTCTTTCTTCTTGTCCTTTTTCTCTCTTTTCATTTTCTTTCTTGAATGTTCTGGAACATCTTTATCATTGCCTATACCAAACTGATTCTTGACTTCGTCTTCCACACTATTGGACCCTCTTTTCTTACTACCCATTTACGCCCACCAAAAAAATACCTCCTGAAAAACCCTCAACAACATTGACACAATAATGATAAATAATAACACCATGATTCTCCACAATGGTAGATGAAAATATTAGCATTGGGAAAATCATCAAAACATGAGAAGAACATAGAAACAAAAAATATTAACAGTGATTGGAAGAAAACTCACCAATCTTTGTCAACGGCAATCACGGTGAGAGACTGAAGGAGATAGCTTAGCTGTGAGAGACTGAAGGAGATAGCTTAGCTGTGAGAGAGAAGGAGAGAGAGAAGCAGAGAACGGTAGAGCTAGGGTTTAAGGAGCGTTGAGGTAGTTTAACGGTGAATTATTAGGGCTTTTCGCACTTTGTACCCAACAAATTTTAAAATTTTTATTTTATACTCTTAAAGATTAAATATTTTATATTATATTTTTAATGTATCAAAAATATTATAATATGATGTTTCTGTTAGTTTTNCGGTGAATTATTAGGGCTTTTCGCACTTTGTACCCAACAAATTTTAAAATTTTTATTTTATACTCTTAAAGATTAAATATTCTATATTATATTTTTAATGTATCAAAAATATTATAATATGATGTTTCTGTTAGTTTTTATTATTATTTTCATCAACATTCAACCCATTGAAGTTGATAAAAAATTAGAGAAAGCTAACAAAAGAGTTATATTACAATATTTTTGTTGCATTCAAGGTAAAATGTAAGAAGTTTAATTTTTAAAAGTATAAATTAAGAATTTTAAAATCTTTCAAGTTAAAAGTGTAATTTTCCAAAATCAAATTTGGGTTGACAGTCGTTACTGGGCTCAAGCGTATAAAGAAGTGGGCTGGGCTGGGTCCATGTTCTTGACAACTATTTGGGCTGCGATTTTGGATCTTGGAAAGCGGGTAACAATGTGGGCTACGACATTTTTGAACAAGTGTGCCACGAAATTGACTTATTGACCAATTAAGCTATCTAATATTACAATTAAAAAGTTGAATTCTCAATTTATAAAATAATAATAATAATAATGGTTAAAATAGATTTTTTTTTCATCTATTTTGATCTATTGCGACTAGAAAGTTGAATTCTCAACTCATAAAAATACTACAATAGTTAAGATTGATGATGCACAAATCGGGTGTTGTGTAAAATTAACAGTCAAAAATATGAAAGGGTGCAGTCAATGAGCAATAAACAAGTAATCAATGACAATCAAGAGCAAAAGCAGTAAATAGGCAATCAACACAAAGATTTATAGTGGTTAGGTCCGGGTGACCTTCTCCACTCTAGGAAACGGCTGCGGTGGCCGGAGGTGTTTTATTGATGAACCAAAGTTGCCAAGAGAGTGTTCTCCGAGGGAGTTACAATACTTTGGGAGAGGGGAGCAAGGTGTGTAGGGGTTTCAGAAGCGTGTCTTCAATGTTGAGTAGGCGTACATTATGAAGTTAGGGAAAGGCAGTGAGGTGATGACGTGACTGAGAGGTCTTTTCCACCATTTTGGTAAGTGACCAATCATGGTAAGTTTAGATCTCCATCATGACATTCTCTCTCTCGTGCTCCTATTCAATCGGAAGAAGACCTTGAGTTGGATTGAGCTTGATCGTGAGCCTGAACGTTTAGTTGGAGTGGATTGGACTTGCATTGGAATAAAGAAGACATAAGAGAACCAAGGGGCAGCCTTGGGCGACGCCTAGCTTTGGTGACCTCCTCAGCGACTTCCCAAGTGCTTTAGGCGTTGGTTCCTTAGGCGTTGGCCTCTTGGGTGCTGGCCTATTGAACGTTAGCCTCTTGGGCGCTAGCCTCTTGGACGTTGGCCTCTTGGGTGCTTTTTTAGGTTCCCTCATGGCGGGTNCCTAAGTTGGATTGAGCTTGATCGTGAGCCTGAACGTTTAGTTGGAGTGGACTGGACTTGCATTGGAATAAAGAAGACATAAGAGAACCAAGGGGCAGCCTTGGGCGACGCCTAGCTTGGGTGACCTCCTCAGCGACTCCCCAAGTGCTTTGGGCGTTGGCCTCTTGGGTGCTGGTCTATTGAACGTTAGCTTCTTGGGCGCTGGCCTCTTGGACGTTGGCCTCTTGGGTGCTTTTTTGGGTTCCCTCATGGCGGGTCGACCTAGCTCCGATTGGGCTTTCTTGGTTTATTTAAATTGGGCTTGACCCAGTCAAATTCGGGCTCATGCCCCCTATGCCCTAAGCCTCTGACTTTTTGCAAGATGAAGGGGTTGTGGGCATGTACTTCATCTTCATCTGGGTGAGTCAGAATTTTTCTTACTTTCCATGGTATCTTTTCATCCTCAGGGACTAGCTGAATTTTTCAATATCAATTTTTTTTTTTTTTCAATTTGGCGTCAACGGTGAAGGCTACTATGGGCGCCACATGGAGGCTAACAGACGCCTTGGGCAATGCCAAGAGGTTAGTAGGGTGCCTTGGGTGATACCAGGAGGCTGGGTAGGCGTATTGGGAGACACCAGAGGTTGGGCAAACTCCTTGGGCGACGCCAAAAAGCTTGGTAGAGTGCCTTGGGAGACGCTAGGAGGCTGGGCAGGCGTATTGGGAGACACCAGAGGTTGGGTAGACTCCTTGGGCAACGCCAAGAAGTTGGTAGGGTGCCTTGGGCGACGCCAGGAGACCTTGGGTGCTTTTGTGTTTGGGGGACACCTTGAGTCTTGCTATGGGCGACGCTTCTCTGGTGTTTGGTCACTAATTAACCTTGTCTCTAATTATAGGCGCTCTGTTGACAAAGCGATGGTAGAGACTCTTGTGTTTTTAGGGTGGTGTCTTCTCTTCCTCCCAAGAAGGCGAGGCCTGGTGCCCCTAGTGCTTTTTGGTCGAAGTCTACTCTGATGGTCAAGTTGTTTCTCGAGAGCGGGATCTGACGGTGCCCCTCTCCTTTCCCAAATTATGAGTCTTGTGTGTACTAGAACTAGCCCTTATACCGCTATAAAAGTTGAGACTCTTGTGCGATTCTTACGGGGATCATAGCTTCACATAGCTATCATGCTTCTAGTAGTGGCTCGGTGTCAATCTAGCATAGTCCCGTGGGTTACAATGTGCTTGGCAAAAATATTGTTATCTCAATATTAAAATATCTAACATGATTACCTGAAGAAAGAGGCAAGTTGTTTGTATGAGAGCAAAGTCAGTTATGTGGACGTCTCGTGAGAGGGTTGCATGAATTGAGGCCGAGCTACACATAATCTCATGGAATGGTTGCCATGGTAGAGGCTTGTCACACATAGGCTGAGTTACATATAGTCTGGGGAGATAACTGTCATAGTATAGGCTTGCAAAGTGACTACATGCGTGAGAGTAAAGTCATATGGTTGTCGTAACAAAGGTTTACAAGGTAACTACATGCGCTAGAGCAGAGTCATATGACTACCGTAACAGAGGTTTACAAGGTGACTACATGTGCAAGATTAGAGTCATATGACCACTGTAGCAGAGGCTAAATAAGGCTGAGTTTTTTTGCAATACACGAGAGAGTGCGAAAATGGAGATATAGGCTGCTGAAGAGCAGTTGGTGCTTGAGCGGCAGGCACGAGAAGATGTCGTGAAACTGTTAGGGCATGAGAGGATGCCGCTGAAAAGTTGAGGCTGACCTTCAAGTAGCACTTGAGAGAGCTACTAGGACAAAGGCTCACTCTATAGAGATGGAGAAGATAAGGAGGGCGCCTGAGGCTGGATGCCTAAGTCTGGGCGCCTAGTGATTGGCACCTAGTGATGGGCGTCTGGTGGTGTTGACGTCTAGTGCTGGGCGCCTGGGTGCCTCTGAGCATGGACGTCGAGGGGCCCTAGTGCTAGGAGTAGAAAGGTTTTTCTTGGGTGGCGTGCAAAAGATGGACAACAGTAAGCCTGGCGGGCGACAACCAGCCTAGGCACTGTCGACCTGGGTGATGCCAACCTGGGCAGCGCCTACTACTGGGAGCCTGAAATTGGGCGCTTGATGAGAGGGCCACTGTCAATTTCTCTGATTTCATCCCCTATGAGACACTAGTAGTAGTTGATGACAGGGAGAGTCTTGATTATAGTGGTTGCGGCTCAGGGAGCAGTGACTAATCGTCGGGAGTATGACGACTATTGTCCTTTTGTCTACACCTTATTGTTAAGCCATGTTTTAACTTTATAAGCTATTTGTAAATTTTAGGAAAATAAGACAATTCTGGACACAATAATCTTCGCAAAATTTTATTTTATAAAATAACAGATAATAAAATAAATCAACTAAAACAATAAAGGATATATAAATTCTTCTAGTGTTCGGTGTCCCATACTTGGGTCGAGGTTTTCTTAGCAAAATTTGAGTCAATTCTCCTCCCAACCCTCAGAAGATCGTTTGGATTTCCCTAAGGGGTTATCGACATTCTCTATCGTCCTGGTCTTTACTAGATGGTAGGGCTTGTCCTCTTCCAGCAACGTACTGCCTTAAATGACCATGTTGTATGAGTTCTTCAATCTGCCTTTTAAGATCAAAGCAATCGTCCGTATTATGGCCGTGGTCGGGATGGAAACTACATTACCTTCTGGAATTTTTGCGATTTGAGACGGACTTCATTTTTTCGGGCCAATAGAGTGTGGAATCATCCTGTATTTGGAACAGGATATGTTCCACGGAAGCATTGAGCGTGAAAGCTTGTCGTTCTCTTAGAGGTGGGGGACCAAGGCAGTCCTTGGCAAATATTTTCTTTGTTCTATTCCTTGTGTTCTCTACTTCTCTCCTGTCTTTGTGGGTATCCCTTCCTCTTTTCTCCCCCATAGGAGGACTCACCTCGTCTGACCTTGGTGACACCCTTGGCATTCATATACTTTTGTGCCCTTGACAGTAACTTGGGCATGCATGAGGGTGGCTTTTTGAGGACTGAGAACATAAAACAAAAGGTGCAGAGGTTGGTGATAAAGGTGGCTATAGCTACTTTATCATCTGGCTCCTTAACCTGGAGAATCTCCTAATTGAAGCGGGGAAGGTAGTCTCTAAGACTTTCATCCCTATCCTGCTTGATGGTGATCAGATGGGTCACTGATTTCTGATGTCGGCATCGCCCAATGAAGTGAGAGATGAAAGACCTACTCAACTCGGCAAAAGAGTTGATGGAGGAGGGCCTGAACTTGGAGAACCACTGGCGAGCATACCCATTCAAGATGGTAGGGAAAACTTTGCACATAATCTCTTTAGGCACGTTGTGAAGTTGTATGAGGGACTTATATGTGTCAAGATGGTTGAACGGGTCCTTGGTGCCATCGAAGATCTTGATGGTGGACATCTTGAATTTTGAAGGCAGAGGGTTATTGACAATATCAACAATAAAAGGTGTATCAGTGCGTCTTACCAAGTAGTCAACGGTTTCAGGCACCTGTGCCTTGACGACGTTGAAGGCATCACCAAGTTGGTTTTGCACCTCTCTAAGTTTCTCGTCCCATTGATTATGGGCATCCTTAGTTGGGTGGTGATACTGGATTTCATGGTCTCCATATTAGTTTCCTCCGTCTTTGTTCTCCTGCGCTGGTACGTGCGGAGGGGGTACGTGAAAGCTCCCTATGTGCAGAAGAGGAACTGCCGGGCGAGGGGCGCCCTGGCTTTCCCCTGGAGTATTCTAGAGAGAGCCCCCATGGTGGGGGGCTGTCTGGCGCCCCGAAGAGATAAGCTGCTGCTCCTATCCTATTGAAGGGAGTGAGGCTCCTCCCACAGGCTGAAGGGCGACACCCCCTTGGGTGAGCATTAATTGAATGATCTGTTGGTTTTGCTTTACCAACAGTTGCATAGTCTGTAAGAGTTGTTGTTGCTCGGCAGCGTGAGTCGCAATTTTAGATGGTTCAGAGAGTGTGAGGGGAGGCAGAGCCTCCTCCTAGTGGTCCGAGCTGTTGTTTCTCGGTTGCTGGCTTATTGATCTGGTAATGATTGTCATGGATTGAATAAGAGTAGGAAACTAGTCGGTTCTCACAGATGGCACCAAATTGATGATGCACAAATTGGGTGTTGTGCAAAATCAACAATCAAGAATCTGAACGGGTGCAGTCAATGAGCAATAAACAAGTAATCAATGACAATCAAGAGCAAAAGTAATAAATAGACAATCAACACAAAGATTTATAGTAGTTCGGTCCGAGTGACTTACTCCACTCCTGGGAATGACTGTGGTGACTGAAAGTGTTTTATTGATGAACCAAAGTTGCCAGGAGAGTGTTCTCNGGCAATCAACACAAAGATTTATAGTAGTTCGGTCCGAGTGACTTACTCCACTCTTGGGAATGGCTGTGGTGACTGAAAGTGTTTTATTGATGAACCAAAGTTGCCAGGAGAGTGTTCTCCGAAGGAGTTACAATACTTTGAGAGAAGGGAGCAAGGTGTGTAGGGGTTTCAGAAATGTGCCCTCAATGTTGAGTGGGTGTACATTATATAGTTAAGGTGAGGCGGTGACGTGAGTGAGAGGTCTTTCCACCGTTTTGGTAAGTGAGCAATCATGGAAAGTTTAGATCTCCATTCTGGCATTCTTTTCCTTGTGCTCCTATTCAATCGAAAGAAGACCTTGAGTTGGATTGGGCTTGATTGTGAGCTTGGACATTGAGTTGGAGTGGACTGAACTTGCATTGGAATGAAGAAGACGTAGAAGGACCAGGGGCAGCCTTGGGCTACGCTTGGCTTGGGTGACCTCCTCAGTAGCGCCCCAAGTGCTTTGGGCGTTGGCCTCTTGAGTGCTTTTTTGGGTTCCCTCATAACGGGTCAACCCAATTTCGATTGGACTTTCCTAGTTTATTTAAATTGGACTTGACCAAGTTAAATTCGAGCTCATCAAAGATTAATCTTTTTTAATCTACTTTGATTCAATGGTACAAAAATCGTCTTGATTTTTTTTCCTACTCAAAAACATCATCTTCTCTGCACGCCTCCTAATATTAGGCAATTCAATCAACATCTCCTGTCAAACAATTCAATTAACACACTCTTCAATGTTAAACAATCTCATCCATAAGATTCAAAAATGATTTAAGACAAACTTTGTTTTTTATAACACAACTGTCCGAGTTGAACGGATCTCTTATGAACTGTCTGGTTCAACGAGTCTCTACCAATTTTGTTGCTCAAACAATCTAATAGAGGAACTGATCTAGTTTAACGTGTCAATTCATTGGGCTGGTTTGAGTTTTAAAACACTGATCTCATCAATTCACACATATCTCTATTTTCTCTCTCATCATTTTTATTAAAACAGTGATCTCATCAATCCACACATATCTCTCTTTTCTCTCTCATCATTTTTATTTAAAATTGTGTAATTAAAAAAATTAAATTATTATTTCAAATATATATATTACAAAATTATTGTTTAATTTTTAGTATTACATAGTGTTTTAAGGCACGAGATTATCTCTAGTACTTAATTATAATAAAATAAATGATGTTTACTAATTGTGGCTCCAGAGCAATTCTACCTATGTTAAGACAGTCTACTATATGAAGCTCCCACCACTATGGTATCTGATTAATTAGTTGTATGTAATTTTATTTTCGCACGTGAAGAATTTGTTCCCTGTTAATTTAAAAAATGTAATTCTCACTTATTATATTAACCAGTCGGTATAATTCTTAATGATTCATTGGTTCTTAAAAATGGACCCCATAAATACCAATCCATTCAAGTTTTTTTGGGTAAGGGGGGTAATTCCTGGCCATTCCCGACGAACAGAAACGTGTCAGGACTGGCTCAAGATAACTGGAGACTTAAAACGATACATTTAAGTAAGNGTTTTTTTGGGTAAGGGGGGTAATTCCTGGCCATTCCCGGCGAACAGAGACGTGTCAGGACTGGCTCAAGATAACTGGAGACTTAAAACGATACATTTAAGTAAGGTTGTTTGTATTTTTTTAGTGAATTTTTTCACTTTTCAAAGTATAAAATTATTAATTAAATATTTGTGTTAAACTAATTTACTTAATCTTTTTTATAACAATTAATTTGAGGTAAGATTTTATCAATTTTGATCTTGAATTTTTTTTTTTGTAGAAATAATTGTTAAAGGTAATTTAAGTAATATATTTTAAGCAAAACATTAACATAGAAAAGAATCTGACTTTAACATCTAATTTAGTATCNTGTAGAAATAATTGTTAAAGGTAATGTAAGTAATATATTTTAAGCAAAACATTAACATAGAAAAGAATCTGACTTTAACATCNTTGTAGAAATAATTGTTAAAGGTAATTTAAGTAATATATTTTAAGCAAAACATTAACATAGAAAAGAATCTGACTTTAACATCTAATTTAGTATCTTAATTAAAAAAAAACTTATTATTTAAGTGCTCAAAAGAGAGATAAAAGGTAACTGAGTTGGTGATTGTTTCTAGCTTTTATTGTTTACACAACTAAAATTATATTGAGGCCTAAAAATATGATATAATATTTTGACTTAATGATATATGATGTATTATTATTTTTGTAAAAAAGTCTANTTTTGTATAATATTTTGACTTAATGATATATGATGTATTATTATTTTTGTAAAAAAGTCTAAAATGATAATTATAAAAATATTCTTAGGTTATGTCAATTACCACATGATTTGATTAAATTATTATGTAAGATTTTTAGATTTAAAAAGTATTACTCTTTGAAAAAAATGGAATATAACGATAATAGCTCAATTTTCTTAGATTAAATGTGGACATTAATTTATCAATTGAGCTTGGTCTTACATTTTTTTTTTGTCCAAACATAGACTTCTATACAACTTTTTTTATTGAATATAGACTCTTGTCAAGTATAAAATACTAAAATGAACTATACTACTACATTACAAAATTGATGCCCTAAAGTCATCGGTACGATGGTCTTAGCCCTTAGACTTTAGCTGGCCATGAGGCGTGTTTATGTTGTTTAAACTTGTGAGTCTGAGTAGAATCAAAAACAAATCTCAAGTGCATGAATTGAACCCTTAATCCATATACTAGTTAAATCAAAACTTGCGTTTCGATAGGGATTCGAACCCATACTATAAACTTGTATATAATTCGTCTAAACAATTGAGGTTCGTTCTACCAGCAAACCACACTTTTATTGTCTGTCCAAGGGAGTTGAATATTTGACCTCAAAGACAAAATCTTCACAAGACAACGAATACCATTGGGTCAAACGCCCGTTGGTGTCGCCATTCAAGTTTATACTTTATATTGAACAAGAATTTAGACCTGATGTTATAAGCTTAAGTGGAACTCACTATATAAAGTGGATCTACCATTCATACATGATGGGTGATCCACTAATAAGATTTTTGAGAAGAGGTGTACAAAAAAAGGACGTGTCTACCCGTTGAGAGACTTGAGAAAAAATGTATTGAAATAAACCCTCACCACCAAATTNCTGTCCAAGGGAGTTGAATATTTGACCTCAAAGACAAAATCTTCACAAGACAACGAATACCATTGGGTCGTTGGTGTCGCCATTCAAGTTTATACTTTATATTGAACAAGAATTTAGACCTGATGTTATAAGCTTAAGTGGAACTCACTATATAAAGTGGATCTACCATTCATACATGATGGGTGATCCACTAATAAGATTTTTGAGAAGAGGTGTACAAAAAAAGGACGTGTCTACCCGTTGAGAGACTTGAGAAAAAATGTATTGAAATAAACCCTCACCACCAAATTAACAGTATACATATTTACAAACATTTGATGCTACGCTTTCACCTTATCTGTGTGAGCTTAATGAGCTGCACAATACAAGATTCAGAAAAGTTTAGGGGGTCAATCTATGCAACTTGAGTATCCATAGCAAATAACAATGTAACAACAGGGATTTCCCAATATGAGAAGATTACAAACCATGAAGAAAATTTCTGCTGGATTGAAGTGATTCTACAGTAAATTTAATTCCACAATCTACTGAAGAAATTTTAGCTTGCATGGATAGTAGTGGATAAACAAGGAACTTCTAGTACAAACAAGCTTCCAAGTTTTAAATAAAAAACTGCTAAAAACCTTATATCCCGACCGCAAAAGGAAAAAAATAAGGACGTAACTCATATGTCACTGGTTTTAGCTCCTTCACTTCTTTACCTCCTCATACTCTGCCTCAGGGGCCTGGTCACCACCACCCTGAGAACCTCCGGGAGATGAACCACCACCAGAACCCCCAGACATGTGTTGTCCAATCTTCGATACGGCTTTGTTTGCTGCATCAAGCTTTGATTTGATCTCATCAATGTTGTCCTTCCCCATTGCATTCCTCAAATCAGTAATAGCAGACTCAATCTCCGTCACCACTTCGCTTGGAACCTTCTCCCTATATTCATTCAAACTCTTCTCAATACTGTATATGGTGGTGTCTGCATTGTTCCTTATGTCTATCAGAGCCTTCCTTTCTTGATCTCTCTGTGAGTGCATCTCAGCTTCCTTAACCATCTTCTCAATCTCATCTTCAGAGAGACCACCAGATGACCGAATGGTTATCTGCTGTTCTTTACCAGTGGTCTTGTCCTTGGCAGAAACAGTTACAATTCCATTGGCATCGATGTCAAATGTGACTTCTATCTGAGGCATACCTCTAGGAGCCGGAGGAATGCCCACAAGCTCAAACTCACCCAGGAGCTTATTATCAGACGCCATCTCACGTTCCCCTTGTAGTACTTTAATTCCCACCTGAGTTTGGTTGTCAGCAGCTGTTGAAAATGTCTGCAATTGAAGAGGGGCCAATTAGTCACAAATACACTACAGGGCCACTCAGTGATGTATAAAAGACAACAATAACCTTAACATCCCAGATACCTATCAGATCTAAATGTCAAGCTAATAACCAGCCAATCCAATCTCACCAAAGATCAATATGCATTGGATCCCAGATTAGAGACCCGAATAAAATCTAAAGGTTACAGTAAATTAGCAATTAGGCACCGAACATTGCAACGAGAACACTACAAATGTAAGCAGTTCTCGTAGTTTTCTGGCAAATATGTTAAACCTAAAAATTAGGCTTCGGAACTCACCTGGCTCTTCTTAGTTGGAATGGTTGTGTTCCTGTTGATCAATCGGGTGAAGATACCCCCCAGTGTCTCAATACCAAGTGATAGGGGGGTTACATCCAACAGAAGCAACTCTTTGACGTCACCTCGAAGAATACCACCTTGAATAGCAGCTCCCATGGCGACTGCCTCGTCAGGATTCACCCCTTTGCTTGGGCTCTTACCAAAAATTTCCGCAACTATTTCCTGCACCTTTGGGACTCGGGTCATCCCTCCAACAAGGAGGACCTCATCCACCTCCTTAGTTGATATGCTAGCATCTTTCAAACAACTCTTGCAAGGACTTCTAGTCCTCTCGATCAGATGGTTCACTAGAGTTTCAAATTTTGATCTCGTCAGTGTGATATTCAGATGCTTAGCGCCAGATGCATCTGCTGTAATGAATGGCAGGTTGATTTCAGTCTGAGTTGTTGATGACAGTTCTATCTTGGCTTTCTCAGCTGCTTCTCTCAGTCTCTGGAGGGCAAGCCTGTCTTTTGAAAGATCAATCCCCTCGGTTCTCTTGAACTCACTAACCAAAAACTCCAACAAGGTATTGTCGAAGTCCTCTCCTCCCAAGAATGTATCACCATTGGTCGCTTTCACCTGCATAAAAAAAAATTAGTTTTGAATACACCTTGATAAAGACCAAGAGAAAAAACTCTACACACTACTTAATTAAGTTGCATACCTCAAAAACACCATTAGATATCTCTAAGATAGAAATATCAAATGTGCCACCCCCAAGATCAAAAACTGCTACCAGGCCCTCTTTATTGTTCAATCCATAAGAAAGTGCGGCAGCTGTGGGTTCATTGATAATTCTCTGCACATCAAGGCCAGCAATTCTCCCAGCATCCTTTGTTGCTTGCCTCTGAGCATCATTAAAATAAGCTGGAACAGTGATCACAGCCTTGTTCACTGACTTTCCAAGGTAAGATTCGGCAGTTTCCTTCATCTTGGTTAGAATGAAGGCCCCAATCTGGCTTGGAGAATATTGTTGTCCATTGGCTTCAACCCATGCATCTCCGTTGGGAGCCCTGACAATCTTGTAGGGAACCATTTTCATTTCTTTCTGCGTCTGGGGATCATCAAACCGTCTGCCAATCAGACGCTTGGTTCCAAAAATTGTGTTGGTGGGGTTGGTCACTGCTTGACGTTTGGCAGGAGTACCCACAAGAAGCTCTCCTTTCTGGTTGAAGGCAACCACTGATGGTGTGGTCCGAGATCCCTCAGAATTTTCAATCACTTTAGGATTCTATCCCTCAAAAAAAAAAGTGTCAATCAGAGCTGTTACATAACATGAACTCTATGAATAATAAATGACTTTCTCAGGCAAACAAAAGTCTAACCTTCCCTTCCATGAGTGCAACACATGAGTTTGTCGTACCCAAGTCGATACCAATGACCTCATTCCCAACAGGCTTTGAGCTGAAGCAACAAGACAAAAGTAATTAACACAGAAAAACCAAGGACTATAAAAGCATACATATAATACAATAAACTAAATGTCTGAAGCACCTGAATGGTCTGGCCAAAATGGACCATTTGTGACCCAAATGGGATGTGGCCCAAGATGACTTTCCATTTCCAGTCAACTGCACAAACAGTACAAAGTATAACGCCGCATAAACAACTCACTATCACCTATAAATTCAGTTCAAACACAACAAGCAAAGGTCATGAAAGATCCTAACATCAAGCAAGCTCAGAGCACCCACAAGAATATTATGGAGAGCAGCAACTGAAGCTTTAGAGTCCCAGGGACAAGTGGCTACTCAGCTTTAGAGTTTTGTGACACAAGGCATTTCAAAGAAGAATATGAAACAGCATATATGACAAAATCCAACCGTATAAACACGGGACAACTTTTCTTTATCCATAGCCCAAATATAACAACCTAAGGACAGGATGTCTACCAACAGTTGACTAGAAGAGCAACACAAATAAGTGAGCCTTTTTTGTGTGCCTAGCAATAAACAACATATTATGTATCTTATCTTTCACTGCCCAACAACCAATATCTTCACACTGAACTTTCCAAATAAGAATATAACACATACGTTATACTATGTTCTCAAAGAAAATTGACCCAACACCAATCCCATCAGTAGAAAGAAGATGTAGCGTTCTCAAAACTACAAAATCATGATGGAAATCAACAGAAATAGCATGCAAGGTCTCAACTAAAAGTCTTAGTAATGCACAACTAAAAACTAATTAATTCTCTTGATAGGCATCTACAACTATATAGACACCGAACAGATTCAATTACATGTTATCCCAGTTGCCAAACCAAATTACGCCTCTTAAAATAAACAGCCACCACATTAGCGAGCGCCCTGGCACAAATCCATCATACGAACAGTACAACCTAAGCCCACAAAGAACACGCCACTATGGATACTATAATTATATTCTCTTTTTATTATAAAGAAAAAAAACAAGAAACCATTAACTAACACCCGCAAAAATCCATCATCAGGACAGTACAACCTGAGTTTACAAAGAATATGCAACAATGGATATGCTATAAAACTTAGAAAGCACTTACAAAAACGATTCTTTAACAATTAGAAATCAGAAACCTAAGGCTAAGTCTTCAAGACACAAGGGCCAGTTGAAAATCAGCAACGGAAATATAACAAAATCCACTGAATTTATAACATAGTTAGAAAGTGATCAATAATAACAAAAAAAAAAAAAGATGAAATGATCGGTGATAATGGAACAGAAAAGTACAGATTTGTAGGCAGAGAGAGGAGCGGAAGAAAGATCACGACGACGGAGAGATCTAAGCAACACCGAGGTCGCCATTGAATATGACTAATGGATATATCGATCTTGTTTTCCCTTTTTCCTTTCAGAAATCAGAAGTACTTTCGATTTCCGCGTTTGTGCTTGCTACAAGGGTTTAGGGTTTTAGAGCTCCAGAGTCCAGCAGAGATGAGAGAGAACAGAGAGGCGCCGAGAGAGAGAGAGAGAAGAAGTGTGTAGTTGTTACACGTGAAGGTTCTAGATTCATCACGGAAGTTATAACCACACGATAGTATAGTAGGAAGGCATCGTTTTTAATTCTTCTGTGATTATTAAATAGAGTTAAATAATAAAATTTATTGTTTAATTTTGATGGTGATGTAGCAACGAACTATGTTGTAGTTAATAGCTATACNTCATCACGGCTATGCTAAATTATGAAGTTATAACCACACGATAGTATAGTAGGAAGGCATCGTCTTTAATTCTTATATGATTATTAAATAAAATTAAATAATAAAATTTATTATTTAATTTTGACGGTGATGTAGTGAAGAACTATGTTGTAGTTAATAGCTATATCTCAAATCAGACATTTTTAATATGAACTCTCGTGATCAAATCTAAGGGTTACTACTGATCGCCCCTCCCACCATTCTCTTATTAAAAATAAATTACTACAAAATTCAAGTAATTATAACATTAATTGATAGATGTTTAACAACGTAAGGTGAATTATAGTTGAGAAAAATTGATTATCTAAAGGTATTAAGAGTGATAATTTCTAACGTGATACAAAAACATACCTGAAAACGAAATTAATGAAAAATCATCGTATAGAACACCGATTTTAGCAAAGTTTAGTTTAGAATAAGCCTATCAACGATTCTGACCTTGACCAACTCAAATCTAATTTAAAATCTCTATTATAATTACTCAACATATTTCATTTTTTAATTCANAAAAAAGATGAAATGATCGGTGATAATGGAACAGAAAAGTACAGATTTGTAGGCAGAGAGAGGAGCGGAAGAAAGATCACGACGACGGAGAGATCTGAGCAACACCGAGGTCGCCATTGAATATGACTAATGGATATATCGATCTTGTTTTCCCTTTTTCCTTTCAGAAATCAGAAGTACTTTCGATTTCCGCGTTTGTGCTTGCTACAAGGGTTTAGGGTTTTAGAGCTCCAGAGTCCAGCAGAGATGAGAGAGAACAGAGACGCGCCGAGAGAGAGAGAGAGAGAGAAGAAGTGTGTAGTTGTTACACGTGAAGGTTCTAGATTCATCACGGCTATGCTAAATTATGAAGTTATAACCACACGATAGTATAGTAGGAAGGCATCGTCTTTAATTCTTATATGATTATTAAATAAAATTAAATAATAAAATTTATTATTTAATTTTGACGGTGATGTAGTGAAGAACTATGTTGTAGTTAATAGCTATATCTCAAATCAGACATTTTTAATATGAACTCTCGTGATCAAATCTAAGGGTTACTACTGATCGCCCCTCCCACCATTCTCTTATTAAAAATAAATTACTACAAAATTCAAGTAATTATAACATTAATTGATAGATGTTTAACAACGTAAGGTGAATTATAGTTGAGAAAAATTGATTATCTAAAGGTATTAAGAGTGATAATTTCTAACGTGATACAAAAACATACCTGAAAACGAAATTAATGAAAAATCATCGTATAGAACACCGATTTTAGCAAAGTTTAGTTTAGAATAAGCCTATCAACGATTCTGATCTTGACCAACTCAAATCTAATTTAAAATCTCTATTATAATTACTCAACATATTTCATTTTTTAATTCATATTCAAATTTGTCAAAAATGGATGTTCTATATGTGTATCTCAACTAAAGCTGAATTTTAACATATTACATATTAATTTATAACTCTTGTTTGATNAGAGGAGCGGAAGAAAGATCACGACGACGGAGAGATCTAAGCAACACCGAGGTCGCCATTGAATATGACTAATGGATATATCGATCTTGTTTTCCCTTTTTCCTTTCAGAAATCAGAAGTACTTTCGATTTCCGCGTTTGTGCTTGCTACAAGGGTTTAGGGTTTTAGAGCTCCAGAGTCCAGCAGAGATGAGAGAGAACAGAGACGCGCCGAGAGAGAGAGAGAGAGAGAAGAAGTGTGTAGTTGTTACACGTGAAGGTTCTAGATTCATCACGGCTATGCTAAATTATGAAGTTATAACCACACGATAGTATAGTAGGAAGGCATCGTCTTTAATTCTTATATGATTATTAAATAAAATTAAATAATAAAATTTATTATTTAATTTTGACGGTGATGTAGTGAAGAACTATGTTGTAGTTAATAGCTATATCTCAAATCAGACATTTTTAATATGAACTCTCGTGATCAAATCTAAGGGTTACTACTGATCGCCCCTCCCACCATTCTCTTATTAAAAATAAATTACTACAAAATTCAAGTAATTATAACATTAATTGATAGATGTTTAACAACGTAAGGTGAATTATAGTTGAGAAAAATTGATTATCTAAAGGTATTAAGAGTGATAATTTCTAACGTGATACAAAAACATACCTGAAAACGAAATTAATGAAAAATCATCGTATAGAACACCGATTTTAGCAAAGTTTAGTTTAGAATAAGCCTATCAACGATTCTGACCTTGACCAACTCAAATCTAATTTAAAATCTCTATTATAATTACTCAACATATTTCATTTTTTAATTCATATTCAAATTTGTCAAAAATGGATGTTCTATATGTGTATCTCAACTAAAGCTGAATTTTAACATATTACATATTAATTTATAACTCTTGTTTGATAAAATAATCACCCAATTTTATCATATATATATATATATATATATATTGTTTATATAAGTTGGCTCGGATTTTCATTGTTCAATAATATCATTCTATGTCCCTATGTCCACACTAATCACATTATCAATGCACCAACAACCACTTATTTTAATATAACATGGCAAAAAATCAAAGTCCAGAAAAAGGGCAAAAAAAAAAAAAAATTGAACTGTTCAGAAGTTAGTCATACATGGTTTCAACTCTGATAATGTGCCATGTTACAACTTTGAAGAAAATAATAAAACACCCTTTGCAGTTACACCAACATTTTCAAAACTGGCTGAAATTTAAATAGTATCTCAAGTGATAGCAAAGATGAGCTGCACAGACGTCTTAAGTTTGAATCTCGGTAATTTCTTGAGGTCAAGTTATGAAAAATTTATTCCTTTAGTCTTGGTGTAAACTAACTCGGACAAATCTGACTGTTGAACCAAAAAAGAAAAACTAGCTGAAGCTCCTTTTTTTATTTGGTGCTGCTGCTCAACAAATACCCGCCGAAACTCCAATTCAAATGCCCAAAAATCAACAAATATGATATTTTTTCCCCCGTTTCCTCAGTTTTTTCTTCTTTCCAAATAAAAATAAGTTTGAGAAATAAGTCTGAAAAGAACAGAAACCAACATAAGTACATCACTCAATGAATCATAAAGCTTTTTGTACAAATGTTTCAGCTACCTCCAAAGACATGAAAACTACAATCAGGATGATCTATCACAAAAAAAATTAAAAATAATCAGGATGAGAGACAAAACTGTTGCATAATAAAGTGAGAAATATGAAACAATCATACAGTGACTTCACAGCATTTTTTGTGATTAAATCGAAATTCTGAAACTATTCATGGTGCCAAAGAATCCAACTCCAAATTCCCAACAAAAATGCATACAANAGGCGCCGAGAGAGAGAGAGAGAAGAAGTGTGTAGTTGTTACACGTGAAGGTTCTAGATTCATCACGGAAGTTATAACCACACGATAGTATAGTAGGAAGGCATCGTTTTTAATTCTTCTGTGATTATTAAATAGAGTTAAATAATAAAATTTATTGTTTAATTTTGATGGTGATGTAGCAACGAACTATGTTGTAGTTAATAGCTATACCTCAAATCAAACATTTTTAGTATGAACTCTCGTGATCAAATCTAAGGGTTACTACTGATCACCCCTCCCACCAATCTCTTATTAAAAATAAATTACTACAAAATTCAAGTAATTATAACATCAATTGATAGATGTTTAACAACAAAAGGTGAATTATAGTTGAGGAAAATTGATTATCTAAAGGTATTAAGAGTGATAATTTCTAACGTGATACAAAAACATACCTGAAAACGAAATTAATGAAAAATCATCGTATAGAACACCGATTTTAGCAAAGTTTAGTTTAGAATAAGCCTATCAACGATTCTGACCTTGACCAACTCAAATCTAATTTAAAATCTCTATTATAATTACTCNAAGGCATACATGATCAATGCTGCTGAGTGCTGACAATATTGCAAAGGGTACTCTGTCAGCAAAACAATCTATGATAATGCAGCAGCCATTGAGCTGTTTTGAATTTTGATGGTTCCCTTTGCCATAATTAGAGTAAAGTTTCACAAATAGAAGCATCAAGGGGGCCTTTCATGACTCTGACCGTTTAGGATGTCAAAATGGTACAACCTAATCCACGTACCCNTTGTTTATATAAGTTGGCTCGGATTTCCATTGTTCAATAATATCATTCTATGTCCACACTAATCACATTATCAATGCACCAACAACCACTTATTTTAATATAACATGGCAAAAAATCAAAGTCCAGAAAAAGGGCAAAAAAAAAAAAAAAAGCTTGAACTGTTCAGAAGTTAGTCATACATGGTTTCAACTCTGATAATGTGCCATGTTACAACTTTGAAGAAAATAATAAAACACCCTTTGCAGTTACACCAACATTTTCAAAACTGGCTGAAATTTAAATAGTATCTCAAGTGATAGCAAAGATGAGCTGCACAGACGTCTTAAGTTTGAATCTCGGTAATTTCTTGAGGTCAAGTTATGAAAAATTTATTCCTTTAGTCTTGGTGTAAACTAACTCGGACAAATCTGACTGTTGAACCAAAAAAGAAAAACTAGCTGAAGCTCCTTTTTTTATTTGGTGCTGCTGCTCAACAAATACCCGCCGAAACTCCAATTCAAATGCCCAAAAATCAACAAATATGATATTTTTTCCCCCGTTTCCTCAGTTTTTTCTTCTTTCCAAATAAAAATAAGTTTGAGAAATAAGTCTGAAAAGAACAGAAACCAACATAAGTACATCACTCAATGAATCATAAAGCTTTTTGTACAAATGTTTCAGCTACCTCCAAAGACATGAAAACTACAATCAGGATGATCTATCACAAAAAAAATTAAAAATAATCAGGATGAGAGACAAAACTGTTGCATAATAAAGTGAGAAATATGAAACAATCATACAGTGACTTCACAGCATTTTTTGTGATTAAATCGAAATTCTGAAACTATTCATGGTGCCAAAGAATCCAACTCCAAATTCCCAACAAAAATGCATACAAGGCATACATGATCAATGCTGCTGAGTGCTGACAATATTGCAAAGGGTACTCTGTCAGCAAAACAATCTATGATAATGCAGCAGCCATTGAGCTGTTTTGAATTTTGATGGTTCCCTTTGCCATAATTAGAGTAAAGTTTCACAAATAGAAGCATCAAGGGGGCCTTTCATGACTCTGACCGTTTAGGATGTCAAAATGGTACAACCTAATCCACGTACCCCGTTCCCCCAGAAGCTCCAAACCAAGAATAAGAAAGAAAAAGAGAAGGAATGGCATAGTATTAAAGTAGTATTTAACACCTCAAAGTAGCATTCAGAAGAAAAAAGAAGTCAATAATCACAGTAGAAATGTCATTCAATGTGTTTGAAAAATTAAAGAACAGAATCCCTTTACAAGGTGGGGAGAGAGCAGTGTATTACAAGGAACTACAAGTTGAGGAAAAAGGAAAAAAGAAAAATTAGAACCAAATAATGATTGGCTCACCTCGGCCGAAGAGATCAAGACCACAATCAAGAATCCTACTTCTAGGGAATGGATAAATAAATGTCAACATGGAGTATTGGAATAAAATTCATCTCAAACCAACTTGCTCAAAGGCAAAGGTGAGGGAAATTTGTCCTGAAAAAAAATACCCAATCACCAAAAGACCTGAATAGAAAAATACATATGTATGCCAAAGATCAGGACAATAATGATGAGGATAAGTTAAAAAAATGTACCACAAAAACTTTTTCTTATTATATCCGTAGATAACCTCCTCTGTCTCCACCTGTCACAGTTCTCTTGAGAAAGGACTTCCGGTTTAGAGACCAGCTTCTTCTCAGAGCTCTCCTTCTCCGCCAAGCAGCTATACGAGTATAAAGAGCTGGAAAAAGGAAGCAAAGAAGCACAAGCAGTAGCATGGCGAAACAGACAAACATGACATTGCGAAACCCTTCTTTCACCTTCGGGTTTCTTTGCTCTGTCCATGGAACTCCTCCCACATTCATCCCAAACACTGTTACAAAAATCACACAAAGTGACTGGCGTCAGATGCATCTTAACCAATATAAGGATAAAAGAGTAAAATTTGATTTTGACTTCTTATAAAGGTTTACATATAAAGATTTTAACCTCCAGTGATTACTGATAAAGGAAGAAATATGATGGAAAGGAAAGACAGATAGTATAGTTTTCTATTTATTTGCTCAGCCTGCCAGCTATCAAGACCAGCCTGGATTGCTGTAACACGATTGGCTATAAACCCGACATTCTCCTTTAGTCTCCTGAGACGTCCAATTAACTCCTCAAGGGAGCTAATGTCTTCACTGGCAAACCAATTTTTTGAAGAGCACTTCTCCCTGACTCGTGGAAATACTTGCTCCCCATTTGCAATCACCTGTCATGCAGTAATCATATGCAAACTACATCAACATCTACTACATGCTTTCATAGAATAGTAGATTAATATTAGGAAATTTCCTGTGCATAAGTTTAGGTTAAATGGGTAGGGTAAGCTCCACCCAGTCACGTCCCTTGGAGAGTCGGGAATACTAAACATGAACAAAATAAAATCAATTGAAATGAGAAAAATTCTGATCGGGTCAAAACTAGTGACCCCTGAATTCTAATGGCCCACAGCAAGACCATAAGTTCTTTCCAATCTTGAGAATTCAACTTTCCAATAAAGAGCTGCTTGGATTTTTTTGGTCTAAGGGCATTCCTATGGGGGAACCAATTCGACTATATCAGTACAAATACATTCCTTAGGCTCCATCTCACATTGAGTCACATGATTTCATGATTACTGTTTCACAGGTCCACAGCCACTTATATTGGACAGCAGCTCGTAAAATTATAAAACAAGTTACAATCACTACAGTTAACTTAAAACTAAAGATATTTAAAAATCGTTTTCTTCATCTCAATCAATCAGTGCTGGCCAAAAAACTACCTGCAGGAGGCGCTGCAAGTCAGCATGCATTTTTGGGAATCTTCTATCATCTAGCATTTGCTTTTTTAAGGTAAAACCACCTGCAACCAAATGGAAATTATCATGCAAAAACAGCCAAGAACAAAACATGAACATTTACGCACTGAAAACATTGTTAATAAGGTATGTAAGCAGTTATTTACTAAGTTGAAGTTTCTTCTATTTTATTCAATTTGACTATGCCACTTTGTGTAGTTATACCAAGTAAGCAAGAATTTTTGTGTTCTATATCAAGGGGAACATATATGCATAATAAAACATGTGCGAGTGGCATTGACCAAGTCTGTTGAACCCCTTTTGATGACAATTAACAAAAAACATGCAGTTTTTATCTTTTACCCTTTTTTGTTTTAACCAAGCTTTCTTAAAATTACCATGATTTTTTACGAAATTCAACCACAATATTATTCATCCATATTTGTTAAAGACTTAAAGCACCAACAGAGGAGGATCTGTAGGCTCAATTAGTGGGACAGAGCAGGTGGTAAAGGGGTTAAGTTTTAATTCTAAAAAAGCTTGACAAAATAATACAGGCCAACACTGTGAAAGTCCAATGTTAATCAGGACTAATATAGCTTGACCGTGTTCCAACAACGAAACACTTGCAGCAGAACAACTTCTTCATCCTCATTGTAAAATGAACACCATTAAAAATAATCTCCTAGATCGAACTACTTTATTTTACTACTCAAACCCCTACATTAAGAAGCTTTTCACAGATTATTTTTATAGTGAAGGTTCAAATTCCACACTTATCAATCATTTCGCACACACTTCACCAAGCAAAGTGGGATGTGTCTAGGTCACCACAATCCCAACTCCTCTATGCTTTGGTATCCTGGATTGACTCGAGTTGTGAACTCAGAGTTTCTTAATAAAATTAACAAACTAATCAAAATAAAAGTGCATAGGAATAATCTTATTATGGTCTCCACCATGTCTAGATGTCTTAATGCCACAAACTATTAATTCCATGTTTTAACACATGGCCTCACAATGAAATTAAAAAAGAAAGAACTTTCTTCTGAAAGTATTACGTACACATGCTCAAATAGTAGGGCTGTGCCAAGCCGAAACAAAAACCACTTCCCACTATGATCCACTTCCAAACCAGTCTTAACACAAGACCAACGATAATCAATCAAGACTCTACTCATTGTCGTCTATTCATATTCAACTAGCAAAAATTATAGCTTCCTGCATAGCTAAACCCTCCAAAGCTTCTACTTCCTTAATTCTTGAGCCCTCAAAAAGCTTCAAACAACTGTCGTAAAGTCAACCAACTTGAAACCTTCAGAACAGTTCGTCAAACAATCTGCTGTGCAATACCTTAAACTAGTAATAAAATGGCTGGACTCACAATTCATTCATTACCTTTGAGCATGAAACTATGAAGTCAAGATGCTCTCCAGACCCTCTCAAGGAAACTAAAGGACAGATCAGGAGTAAAGAAGTTTTCCTCTCCACACGAGCACAATCTAAACCGAAGCAATCATTAAGCCAAACTAAGAGTTCGAAGGAGTTCTCTGACCTAATTGATATAAAGGACAAACCTAAAAGCCAAAATTGTAATCTTTTGATGTCTCCGATGTCAATAAGTACTAGATATAAGTGTATTCCTAGAAAAATAACAACATGACAGTCATGAGGTTGAACATGCATATTATAAGCAAATGGCATGGAGATAGGCCATAATTTTACCTTTATCCAATTCCAACTCTACTGAATCTAGCTCAATTTCAAGTTTGGTCACAACATCTTGGAGGTGATCCACATGTGTGTCGATAATGTGAACAAGAAGATTTGAGACAGATTTCGGCACAGGATTATCAGCCTCCTCAGAATGATTCATTGTCAATAAAAAATCAAGAACATGCTCCCTGATCACAGTACCACCCCTGTCTTTTTGCTCGTCTCCAACATAATTTGGACTTTCCACACTAGGAATCTCTGACAAAAGAGACTGACCCACTGGCGAAAAACCCAATCTGGGAACACGACCCAAAGACACAGTAATCACCGAATTCTCTGTAACTCTTGCAGCAATCCTGAAGGTAAATTTGCTAGAAGCAGGGCCTGGAGAATTAACCCTGAATACAAGAGCGCCATCTACATGCCCACAAAAAGGTCCATTGCTAACTAATGAGAGAATGTCCTGGAGTTTCAAGGGTGGGCAAANTTTATTCAATTTGACTATGCCACTTTGTGTAGTTATACCAAGTAAGCAAGAATTTTTGTGTTCTATATCAAGGGGAACATATATGCATAATAAAACATGTGCGAGTGGCATTGACCAAGTCTGTTGAACCCCTTTTGATGACAATTAACAAAAAACATGCAGTTTTTATCTTTTACCCTTTTTTGTTTTAACCAAGCTTTCTTAAAATTACCATGATTTTTTACGAAATTCAACCACAATATTATTCATCCATATTTGTTAAAGACTTAAAGCACCAACAGAGGAGGATCTGTAGGCTCAATTAGTGGGACAGAGCAGGTGGTAAAGGGGTTAAGTTTTAATTCTAAAAAAGCTTGACAAAATAATACAGGCCAACACTGTGAAAGTCCAATGTTAATCAGGACTAATATAGCTTGACCGTGTTCCAACAACGAAACACTTGCAGCAGAACAACTTCTTCATCCTCATTGTAAAATGAACACCATTAAAAATAATCTCCTAGATCGAACTACTTTATTTTACTACTCAAACCCCTACATTAAGAAGCTTTTCACAGATTATTTTTATAGTGAAGGTTCAAATTCCACACTTATCAATCATTTCGCACACACTTCACCAAGCAAAGTGGGATGTGTCTAGGTCACCACAATCCCAACTCCTCTATGCTTTGGTATCCTGGATTGACTCGAGTTGTGAACTCAGAGTTTCTTAATAAAATTAACAAACTAATCAAAATAAAAGTGCATAGGAATAATCTTATTATGGTCTCCACCATGTCTAGATGTCTTAATGCCACAAACTATTAATTCCATGTTTTAACACATGGCCTCACAATGAAATTAAAAAAGAAAGAACTTTCTTCTGAAAGTATTACGTACACATGCTCAAATAGTAGGGCTGTGCCAAGCCGAAACAAAAACCACTTCCCACTATGATCCACTTCCAAACCAGTCTTAACACAAGACCAACGATAATCAATCAAGACTCTACTCATTGTCGTCTATTCATATTCAACTAGCAAAAATTATAGCTTCCTGCATAGCTAAACCCTCCAAAGCTTCTACTTCCTTAATTCTTGAGCCCTCAAAAAGCTTCAAACAACTGTCGTAAAGTCAACCAACTTGAAACCTTCAGAACAGTTCGTCAAACAATCTGCTGTGCAATACCTTAAACTAGTAATAAAATGGCTGGACTCACAATTCATTCATTACCTTTGAGCATGAAACTATGAAGTCAAGATGCTCTCCAGACCCTCTCAAGGAAACTAAAGGACAGATCAGGAGTAAAGAAGTTTTCTTCTCCACACGAGCACAATCTAAACCGAAGCAATCATTAAGCCAAACTAAGAGTTCGAAGGAGTTCTCTGACCTAATTGATATAAAGGACAAACCTAAAAGCCAATATTGTAATCTTTTGATGTCTCCGATGTCAATAAGTACTAGATATAAGTGTATTCCTAGAAAAATAACAACATGACAGTCATGAGGTTATGCATATTATAAGCAAATGGCATGGAGATAGGCCATAATTTTACCTTTATCCAATTCCAACTCTACTGAATCTAGCTCAATTTCGAGTTTGGTCACAACATCTTGGAGGTGATCCACATGTGTGTCGATAATGTGAACAAGAAGATTTGAGACAGATTTCGGCACAGGATTATCAGCCTCCTCAGAATGATTCATTGTCAATAAAAAATCAAGAACATGCTCCCTGATCACAGTACCACCCCTGTCTTTTTGCTCGTCTCCAACATAATTTGGACTTTCCACACTAGGAATCTCTGACAAAAGAGACTGACCCACTGGCGAAAAACCCAATCTGGGAACACGACCCAAAGACACAGTAATCACCGAATTCTCTGTAACTCTTGCAGCAATCCTGAAGGTAAATTTGCTAGAAGCAGGGCCTGGAGAATTAACCCTGAATACAAGAGCGCCATCTACATGCCCACAAAAAGGTCCATTGCTAACTAATGAGAGAATGTCCTGGAGTTTCAAGGGTGGGCAAAGAACATCAATTAGGTATTGGGCAGATTGTGACAGCTTCTGGTTCCCTTTTGGAAGTTCCACATGATACCAACAAAACTCTTGGCCACTACCCTCCATGAGATCCCACTCCTTGTTATAATAATTCCCTTCTCCATCAAATATATAGGCTTTTTGCCTCACAGCACCAGGATACCGTGTCCTATAAAATTTGTTCTCCTTCAGGTGGGTACCTGCTAATGGTTCTCTTTCCATATCCTCTCCCTCTCCATCGTCGCGTAGTTCTTCCCGAGTTAGGTCCATAAATTACCTTAACTATCTTTAATCAATGAACCCAATCCACAGTAATTAGAAGAAGAGGATCAAATAAAATCTACACAGATTCTCACAGTTTCCAATAATCTTCAATGTTTCAGCAGCAAATAATTCTGTTGAGAATATATCAAATTAAACCCAACAAATTCATCAACTATGGACCAAATTCAAATCAAGTCGAGTCATCAAAACTGAACAAATCCATCAAAGATTTACATTCACCCATCATTAACCCCTGAAAAAAAAAATTCAATCTTTCAACATCTAATCAACCCTCAAATGATCCAATCACTGTACCAATATCAAAATCAAATACCATATCAACAAAAAAAAAAACTATGAAGACCCATTAAAACGTTACCTTATTGAAATCTTCAAAACCCAGCAGGCCAAGTGCCGAGCAAAATAGACCCAAATCGGAATAAGCAAAACCCACCAACTATTAACATTAAAAACCACATAAATTGCTTCGAAAATTGATCTTCAGGATTTTTGGAGGACAATTTGTCAACCAGAAACTACAAGCAGATTAAAAAAAAAAAATTGCGTAATCTTCTTAATAATCAATCGGAAACATANACCCTTATATACCTAAACTCATGTCTTGCCACACTATATATATATTTGAATTAACACCAATAACCTAACAAACAATCAATGAGTTTTAACAATTCCCTAATTAGTATGTTCTAATAAAGCCGCAAATAACCAAAGAGTTATTTTCTTAAAATCCAAAAAAAAAAAATTTTAACGGAGATTGGCAAATTTTTAACGACTATCTTAACAAACATTGATAATTGGAGAATTTACATGTGCACAAATCTCCGGGAATTTAAATATAATATATTAAATTTGAGGGAATTTGAATAATGAGTAATGTTATACTAACTAAATTAGGGACCAAAAAGAGTGACCAAATAATAAGATTAATTCACTTCTTTCCTTGATTTGCACAATGTGGATATTCAACCATAAAGAATATTTGCACAGTAAACTCTCCACGTCAGCTGCCATGTCATTTAGTCAGTCTCTTTGGTCCCTAATTTTAGTCAATGTAACATTACTTTTAAATAATTCAGTGATAAATTTCAAGGGCCTGAGTGTAATTTATCCCAAAAAATTGACCACCTTGATGAAATTCTTAATATGACTATTCTGCCCTCAATTCAAATCAAAACCTAGATGGATGGGTCGTTTTTTTTGNAAAAACCTTATATACCTAAACTCATGTCTTGCCACACTATATATATATTTGAATTAACACCAATAACCTAACAAGCAATCAATGAGTTTTAACAATTCCCTAATTAGTATGTTCTAATAAAGTCGCAAATAACCAAAGAGTTATTTTCTTAAAATCCAAAAAAAAAAAAAATTTAACGGAGATTGGCAAATTTTTAACGACTATCTTAACAAACATTGATAATTGGAGAATTTACATGTGCACAAATCTCCGGGAATTTAAATATAATATATTAAATTTGAGGGAATTTGAATAATGAGTAATGTTATACTAACTAAATTAGGGACCAAAAAGAGTGATCAAATAACAAGATTAATTCACTTCTTTCTTTGATTTGCACAATGTGGATATTCAACCATAAAGAGTATTTGCACAATAAACTCTCCACGTCAGCTGCCATGTCATTTAGTCAGTCTCTTTGGTCTCTAATTTTAGTCAATGCAGCATTACTTTTAAATAATTAAGTGATAAATTTCAAGGGCCTGAGTGTAATTTATCCTAAAAAATTGACCACCTTGATGAAATTCTTAATATGACTATTCTGCCCTCAATTCAAATCAAAACCTAGANTTATAGGGGGCCTCTGATTTAGTGACAAATTTTAGGGATCTAATCTAAGTACAATTTTATCTTTTTATGTTTTGAACTTGTGATTGGCCAAGTCAAAGGAAAATAGAATATTAACAAGCCATTACTTATTTAACACACCATAATTTGTTCATATATGTATTGACAAAAATTTTGAATCGAGTTCTAATCGTGTCAAATATTGATACATCTAAACACGAATACATAAAATATGATATAGATTCAAATTTTGAATTTATGTAATTGATCAAAAAATCAATCTATCTAACTAATCAAATACAGATTCAGATCAAATATGAAGTAAAATTTAATCCATTGACAGACTTAGATGTACGTCATGTGTGGTGTGCATTCTTAACACTTGCACTTCTTCTTTTTTTTCATTACATTGACATTATGTCCAATAGAAAGCGTTTAATAAACACACATATATCATAAATTCATTGTTAAGTGGTATCACTAATCAATTACAAACAAATGCACAAGTCATGTGAACTCCACTGCATCCAACATGGTAGCTATTGGTTGTTAATGGATCAACTAGATCCACATGCTTATGTATTTGTTTATAATTAGTTGGTGATATAATATGTTGACTATGACATGGTATCACCGCCCTATCGAAGAAACAAAGAGTTAGTGACAGTCGACAGATTATGCTCGACCAAAGCATTGCCACTTTAGTTAAGCAAATAGATTCTGTCCCAAAGAAATAATGGAATAGATACTAATCCAAAGAGAAGGGTCACACTCACACAAGAGGTTCTATTGTGCTTCTTTAGATTCTTGGGATGTACACAAAACCTAAATTTTGTACAAAGAGTGAAACTTGAACCAAGACAAGTTAATTTATGTCTCGTTTTTTTATTTAACGGTCAAGAATGTTTGAATTAACTTACAAACATCAGGACTAATATTTTTCCTAATCTTGTTAAAGGCAGATCATTTATACTGGAGCTAGAGTATTCATGAGAGATAAATCCCTCATGACCTAACTCCAAAAAATTATCAAAATTCAAACTCAAAATATTTATATATACAATTTGTCCTTTTTAACACTTAAACTACACTTTAAAGTATATCTTGCTTTCATTCAATGGCTAAACCAATCCAAGTGGGTTTTCTCAACAAACAAAGGCTCATACCTTACATAGGGCCAGCCCACCACAAAAAGCCCAACCAGTACATATGGAGTGTACTCTACTTTAAATGATTCAACCTTGGAATTCAATTGAGCATGAGTGTTGAATAAAGTTACATAGAAAGATAGATGTCATAAGTAGGTGAAGGTAAGCCATCTCACTCTCCAAATTTGGTGTACCTACTAATTTGCATTACCCTTGACAAATATTTCAAAGAATGTTTTTATTTGGGGGGAGAAGTTACTTGTATTAATGTTTTTTAGTTAAATCGAAAGAGAAATTTGGAATTCTCGTCCCTCTCATCTATTAAGACGAGTAACCAAATAGGTATAACAATATTGACTCTACTATATAAAGTAGATTGGCAAACCAAGTTCAAAGAGTACACACGATCACGGTCGATTGGAAACATGTTAGGGCATGGCACACTCACTCTAGGACTCAAAAAATGAGATTTCAACATTAAATTTTACGTCAATTTTTTTGGCAGTTTTAAAGTTTTAATAATTTGGATTAATCCTTTCTTCTTGACACCATACTTTAAAAAAAAAAAAAGGGGTGGGGGCAAAAAAGACCGCCAAGAGACCATCCCGATAGGTTTTCACCGATGGAATCATAAAACTCCTAACTACGTTCGTTATTTTTCTCAAGAACAAAACCTAGCTAGATTATACTTAGCGGCCAACCACCGAGCCTAATGTGGACTCCAAGACTCGAACATTTAAACTAAGAGTGAGAAGTTTAGCCGATACTTTACTGGACCTCATATTTTGATGTTTTGGGTTCTAGTCTTGAAAGCACAAATGCTAGTTACGAACCTTTCACATTTAAAAGCCCAATGAAGTAGTTAAGACACAGAAAACTAGTTACCAATTTGGGCCCAAAAAATTTGGTCCACTTTCCGAGGGGTTTATGTCCATTAAGAACCTAAAAGTAGCCCAGCCCATTATATCAAAATTTTCACTCCACAGCTTAAAGTAACTATAACTGTGAACGCTTGACAAACTTAGATATTTTGAGTTCAAATTTTAATAATTTTTTAGAGTCAGATCATAAAAAATTTATTTTATATGAATACCCTAATTATGACGTGAATGACTAGTTTTGACATGATAGAAGAGGGAATTAATTAAGATGGGTGTAAGTTAGCCTGTACAGTGTACACCATTGACTGATGAACCTTAAAAAAAACCTATAACTAGGAACACAATGAGCGAAGAAAAAAAAAGAGAATATGTATGATCTAAATCTTGTAAATTTAGATATTCTAAATTTCATATACGAATTATTAAAATTTTTACAATAAATATCCAACACGGTTATGATCTTATTTGAAATATATATGTTGAAATTAAGTTATTTTTTACTAAATTTAAATTCAATGAGTTATTAGATTTATATTGCGTTTATGTTTTTTCTTTGGAACAAATTACAAAATGAATTTCGCAGCATATTTGTAGCAAATTCGAATCAAATCCACTGACCAACCTACTTCTTTGGTCGGACAATGTTAAGTTAGGCGGATTTATAATTGCTTGAGATTACTTATGATATGATCGATCATGAATAATCTCAACCAGTTATAGTTCAATCTTTAAAAGTTGTTACTTGATATTTAAAAATTTTAGTTTACCACCAAAAAAAAAATTCTCAAAAGTTGTAATTTTTATAATCGATCATAATATTTTGGGATCGATCGTGTCTTTTGTGGTTATAACTTGTAAAACAGTATAATTTGACCTTAAAAAATTATAATTTTTGATTCGACACGGAAGATCATAACATAGTCTTTTTGTAGAAAATGATAGAGAATGAATCTTCCAGTCAATAATCTAAACTGCATGCTGAAAAGATTTCCGAAAAAAGAGAATTCTTTTATGAAAATGGCACCCACCCAAAGAGCACATATTGTCAATGTAAACACTACTTGAGTTGGAAGAATTTGAACTTGATGACCCAAGTGAGTGAAAAAAAAAAAGGGGGAAATGTATTTGAAGGACCTGATTAGGGTATCG